GACAGCATAGGGTTAAATATTATGGTTTATCAAATTAAGAAAATTATGATTCAGATGCAAAAAAAACAAGACCCCCTTATATACAAATGGGGAATACAAAAACGTTTAATTAAAGGCTTTAACAAAGCTAATAGTTATATGCAAGCTTGCTAGGTGTGGTGTATTGTCTCGCCGCCACGAAGTGGAAGCGAGGCATAGGTGTTGCTTTTCCGGCGACGGCGTCAACATCAAGTTTTTGGATTTAGGTTAGTTTCTCTGAAAGAATAATTGCTACATCATCCAAACTTGCACCATTGATGCATCATCAAATACTAGTTGCGGCCTACCTTTCATGGTCCATTGACTTTGTCAGCATCTCCATCAACATTAAGTTTTTGCGTTTAAGTTAGTTTCTCTGAAAGTATAAGTGCTAGACCAACCAAAATTGCACCATACATGCATCTTAGGTAGTACAGCTCAGACTATGCATCAAATGCTGGATGCGGCCTATCTTTCATGGTCCATTGACTTTGTCAGCATCTCCGTCAACATTAAATGTTTGCTTTTAACTTAGTTTCTCAGATATGTGCATTGATGGTCAAAGCGAGGCATAGGCGAGACATATCAATCTAAATGGCTTGTATTCTATTCATCACATTCAAATATCTTCGCAGATAGGTTTCTCAAGATCGTAAGTCGTTCAATGGTTATATTTGCTGATAATACCTTGCTTTGTTTTAAGAAAGAGTTCCAGAGTATTTCCTACCAACCCTTAGATGGTATAATTAGTTGTTAGGAAGTGTTTAACCAATTGATCGTAGAGCGTAAGACGGTTCTGTGCCCTACAGAGGTGTTAATGCCTTCTATACACTGTTATTTTATTGATCGTAGATCATGAGACGGCTGTTTCCTACTGAGATATTTTATTATGTTGTACAAAAGCCAGTTTACCTATGTATGGTTCAATGTAGATGTAAGCATTGTGCATTATGTATATCCAAATAGGTCTTGCGTTTTGAAGTTAAATGTTTTGCTATTACAATCTATTGAATGAAATCGGAGTAATATTATATAATAGCAATTATTTTATGTTTACTTTCCTAGTCCAATGTAATTATGTGATCATATGGAGTTTCATATCCTTTCTTGCTTGGTGTGTAGACTGTTGTGTAGGCGTAACATATTTGTTACAAACTGTCTTCTTCATTTCCTGTATTTTCGTTCCTTTTATATCTCCCATTTTTGCTTCGTATGCTCGATTGTATATAGAGACTATACATTTTATTTCAGAGATTTCGATCATTGATTTTATCTATGTCGCAAGAAAAGAAAAAACTTCAAAAAAATTGATACACTGGTTATAACTGTCTCGCTTCAGAATAGTTATCATTCCGTTACCATAGATGCGACTGTAATCACGTATAATATACATGGATCCGAAGAGTCGCTGGTATTTATCGGCTAGCCGAATGTGAATTTATGTGTCGTATTTGTAGTGTTTTGATTATATATCATGCTATACTCAAGATCTACTGGTGGACTATCAATTCCCGAGGTTTGCCGTATCCTTGTATCTACTGGTGGGCTATCAATTCCTGAGGTTTGCCGTATCCTTGTATCTACTGGTGGGCTATCAATTACCGAGGTTTGCCGTATCCTTGTATCCACTGGTGGGTTATCAATTATCGAGGTTTGCCGTATCCTTGTATCCACTGGTGGGCTATCAATTACCGAGGTTTGCCGTATCCTTGTATCCACTGGTGGGTTATCAATTATCGAGGTTTGCCGTATCCTTGTATCTACTGGTGGACTATCAATTCCCGAGGTTTGCCGTATCCTTGTATCCACTGGTGGGCTATCAATTATCGAGGTTTGCCGTATCATTGTATCTACTGGTGGACTATCAATTGCCGAGGTTTGCCGTATCCTTAGCTTGTATCTACTGGTGGACTATCAATTCCTGAGGTTTGCCGTATCCTTGTATCTACTGGTGCAGTAAATTTTGGTTGGCCCTCTGTATATCCAAACAGTATTTTTAAATAAGTGCTTTATTTCTTCGTATTTCTATAATTATTTGATTTCTGTTATCGTTAAAAAGCCATTGTGTGCGACCATGGTTTTTGTTGTAATTGAAAAAAGCTAGGCTTCTGTTATAGAAATCTAGGTAGGACGAAGAGCAGGTAAAAAAACCCATTACGGTCGAATGTATCAAATTGTCATTCGTATCGAAGATCTGAGAAGTGTCCAAACATATAGGTACATCCCAAAACAGGGACCTGGGAATTTGTTACAGCTATATGTGGACCAGAGGTGATCAGAGTAAGTTTTCCCCTTTTAGGGGTTAAGATCGACTTTCGGTAAAATGCCCCCTATGGTATGATTGGCTGGTTATTTTGGAACCACACAAGCCAAACGACATATAACGATAGAATCCTTCGTTTTGGGTTTCACATGGATCGTTTAAGTTCACACGCTATTGATTATATTCCAAACCAATGGTCATCATAACCTGCTGTATATGTGTATCGTTGTCCTACTGGTGACACAGATATGCATGATTGTCAGATCACATAACGACTTCGACATCATATCAGCAAGTCTTTCACCCTGCCTGACGAGCATCAGCGCTTGGATGAGTGCCAATGAGCTGAAAATAAATAAGAATATGCAAGTCTTTGTTTTTACATCCATGCATCATAAGAAAATAAATCAAAGAATCTACAAAAGCAGAATGGTGACAAAACTATTCAGTCAGTTACATCGACGAGGAAATTAGGTGTCTACTTCATCATTTCTACGACAAGGGGTTGACAACCATTGCACATGTATGTACATTTACTAGCTGTCCTCAGAAAACTCAAATACCACAGTTCGGTTTGTTTCTTGTTTTCGACAGAAAGGCACGATTAACATAGGCAGAGGAGGCCGGGCATATACATGGTACTAAATAAAACAGCTGCTCCTTTTTAACGTAGCTATTTCACCTTCCATTAGCCATTAAGATCACCAACAGCAGAGTAAGAACCCCCTGTTCTGAATCCAAAAATCTCATAAAGCCAAAAATGGCAGCAGCTTTGAAATTGATAAAAAAAGTACCTGTTTCATTTTTCATTTTTGTTGTTTAGCACTATATTTTGTTTTTGTTCGTGTCAATAACCTTCATTAAATTTGTATTGTATTGTATTGTATAGCTGTGAAGCATGTTACCTCATTATGTGGGAAGCTATATACAACATTATCATCCCCTCGCAACGAAAGTACGAGGGGATATAGGATTAAACCCGTACGTATGTACGTATATGTACGTACATGTATGTACGTATGTTACACTCTTTGTCATCACTCTAGCGACTTTGTTTCTCAACGGAATTTCATGAAATTTGATACAAGTGTTTGGTATGGCAATGCTTTGAACAATATCGTGTTTCAGGTTTCTACGTTGAAGGTTAATGTCACTGTTACTATTTTTTTTTAAAATGTCATCGCTCTTGCGACTTCATTCCTCAACGGAATTCATGAAACGTGATACAATTGTTTGTTATGACAATGCTTGAACAAGTTCCCTTTTAACTGCACAATACAAATATTATTATCCATCAAAGAATGCAGTCGCTAGAGCAGATAATGATACATCATTGGATTTTCTATTTATTTCCTTATATAATGTCACACAATGTGTGAATGCGAGTGGTTTGTATCACTTGTGGTGCTTTATTATCATTGTTCATAATGACGTGATTTTTATTACATGAATGTGCATGCGAGTCTACACCTACACGTCTACCTGTAGGTTATCTGAACTATCTCACCTGTATACACATACCTGTATATATGGAACAATTTGTCTAGCACTGCAGTAGACATCTTTAAAATCCGATTAAGTACCACTTCAGTACGTTCAATCTACCTGTTATCAGTGACTGAGAAAGTCTTTCTTTTTAAATGTACGTGTTACCCGTATGAACACAAGGATATCCTTTAAGTATCTCCATGCTTCATAAACCCTACTGCGGTCCCGCTAACACTTTGCAAAATTATTAATGACATTGCCTGATAAATACTTCAGCTCCTGAGATATTGTCATTGCAAAAATTTATTGTGATTCCAAAATTTGATATTGGCATGAATCCAAGACGTTTATTTCATTGTTACATAAGGTGTTTTGTATAAAATCTCCATTGGAATTTAATTTAGCTCTAGCTTCCATCTACGTCTGGAGCAGCTTCATTTCTAGTTACATGTATGTCCTTGAACTCGTTCGGGTGATGAGGTATAACCCTGGAACGCGCTCAATAGTTCAGCAACGGTCGAGCGTGGCCAATGGCTGCTATCCGTCCGTTACTCCGAGACAATTTTCTGAACACAAGGGTTTTATCGTAAGATCTAAACTTTCATTCAATGTATTTAAATGCTAGTCCATGTGCTCGGTAGAGGCTCCAACCAGGGGCGTTTCTAGGACATTTGAAAGAGGGGGCGTAGAATCCTTTTTTTGGCTAAAAAACATAAAATAATTGTGAAATGCACTAGTGTAACGGTTCCTGACTTGGAGCATGTATATTTTATAGTTAAAGTGTCAGGGTGTTTATGTGTTTAATTCATGAATATGATAAATTGCCATATTCAATACAATATTAGCAGATTACGANCCAACTGAAATGCATATGTATCTGCAATCGGAGCAGAAACTGGCGATTGGAAGAGAATAGACAAGGGCTATTTTCGTACCTGGTAAACAGGATATAGAAATACGTAGTACGACAACGACTACCTTACTAACCATTAGCTGCCATTAATAAACATGTCAATAAAGAAATAGATATAGAAATCGTAGATGATATGATTTAAACTGTAAAGAATAATATTAAACTTGTTAAAGATTCAGATCAGCACTAAGTAAGAAAATGCCACCACCCCACCAATGAATGACAGTAAGTAAAATAATTACTCTCTACACGTCAGGGTACTGAAACACATTCCCATTGTCCCTGTACATGTATATGTTAACATACTATACAGCGACAACGGGTGGATTTTGGACTACGCGCGTCACTGCTGTGTTTGGGGATTCCCCTTTGTAAAAACCCTCGTTGGCAGGTTGATCGGGGTGGACGGAATTCTGAAGGACTAGAAATGGTCAAAGTGGTGTTTTTATGTGACCAGGAGTAATCAACATTAACGGATGTATTGTGGCCATGTGTTTGGATGAAGAATCCTCGCTGACGCACAGTTGTCGGAAAATATAGATCTGATTAAAACGGCATTTTCCTATAAAGGGGAAAGGACAGGTAAGCACTGCTCGGTTCACTGCATAGAACGTGGTACATGCACCCTTGTATTTTTGTGAAAATATCAAATATATTAACGGAATTGCTATTTAAGCCCAAGTCCTTGATATGTTGAATATTATTTCGGAAGTAGGAGACCTTTTATCTACTTCATTTTTTTTGTAAGTGACACTACTTATATATATATACAGATAGTGAGGGGTAATCTTTTATATGTAACACTGTAAAAGTAAAACGCACATATAGGCCTATGTGAAACATCAGTGAGGTTTCGGACGGATATGCATGTTGCTTGATTTTTATTAGTTGCAGTATGAGTGTCATACAATGCTGACATCTTTGTTACCGTTAGCTGTTGTTTTCAGTATGGCTATGTGTGTAGTTTACTGTGGTTCACTGCCCAGGAACGTTACCGCACACCTTTTTTCTCCGAACCAACAAGTCGGTCACATGGTTTTACCTGTATTTCACAATACCCAGGTATAGATATAGATGTTACTCTGCTACCACAATAAGTAATATCGATTGGGTGGCCGCTTCTGTACTGCAGTACTTGCTATAAAAAATGTTGGTTGGTTGGTTGACGGGTTTATCGCCTACATGACTCCACCCATGNTTTGTTTTTTTGTGGGTTTTTTTTTTTGAAAAGGGGGAGGGGGGAGGGGGGCGTACGCCCATTACGCCCTCACCTGGACCCGCCCCTGAAGATTGTGATGATTTACTGTCAAACTTAAACTCAAGGTTTCTCGTCAATCCCATCTTAGTATATTTGCTTCCTTATATTGGTGTTAGAGAGGAAACCTCCGGGGGTCTGTGAGAGGTAACCTGCTGAAGTGAAATGTTATTCATTAACGGGAAGCGATGCTAAGTTATAATTTATTTCAACTTTATTCGTTTTACAACAAACATAAAACACGTAAATTCAAGTTATATTAATCCCTCTTGTTGGCCCGGATATTAATTTTAATTATTTTCTTACCTCTTGTTAATTGTTTCAGTTTTGAATTGGTTAAATCTGACAAGTCTTTTATTTTTTTATTTTTTTATTTTTGGATTGTTACAAGAAGATTTGGATGTAAATCGAATATTAGAATTTATAACGTTCATTGGCTACATTAAACATAACGGTGAACCCGTTCTGACTGATCCAACTCACGCCACGCCATTTATTGTAGTAGTTATTCAATAAGCGAATATATCATTTACACAAACAGATAAACTCTTCTCCGACACATAGCTTTATCAAAACTACTTTAGTACTGGTTAAATTCAATTTTATACTAAATAGAGTGTAGATAATATTATGAGCCCTGCCACTATACTATAGGTATAATGACTCGTCTGTTTACGTTAAATCCATTGCGGAACAGTGTTTCACATGTGTTTTTTTATAACAATGTATGCCTGTGTGATATAACAATGTATACCTGTGTGATATAACAATGTATACCTGTGTGATATAACAATGTATACCTGTGTGATATAACAATGTATACCTGTGTGANTGTGAAACATCAGTGAGGTTTCGGACGGATATGCATGTTGCTTGATTTTTATTAGTTGCAGTATGAGTGTCATACAATGCTGACATCTTTGTTACCGTTAGCTGTTGTTTTCAGTATGGCTATGTGTGTAGTTTACTGTGGTTCACTGCCCAGGAACGTTACCGCACACCTTTTTTCTCCGAACCAACAAGTCGGTCACATGGTTTTACCTGTATTTCACAATACCCAGGTATAGATATAGATGTTACTCTGCTACCACAATAAGTAATATCGATTGGGTGGCCGCTTCTGTACTGCAGTACTTGCTATAAAAAATGTTGGTTGGTTGGTTGACGGGTTTATCGCCTACATGACTCCACCCATGGGTGTTTCGTTTCACTGACGGAGGTCGTATACAAAATGTGAGATATGAAGCTATTTATAGACATTGCAGATTGATCAGCATTATTTGGAATAATTGTTAAAATTTAACTTCCTTTCATTTGTTTAGAAACAGGGGCTTATTGACACACTAATAACAATGACAAAGTGATAGATAAGGTTATTCAAGGGGTAGTTGTCGATAGGAAGGTAATATATATATGAGATAGATAGTCATACGGATAATCAAGGGGAGATAATTAAGGTAAATCCGATAGTGGTTAATACATGATATAAAACTGAGATAGATAAAGGTGATAAAGGGGAGATAATCAAACTAAAATGGTAATGGTCAATATATATATATATACAGAATATATAAAGGTGATCAGGAAAGATGATCAAGGTAAATATGGTAGTGGCCAATACTAAGGGTTATAAAGGGGAAATTATCAAGGTAAATATGGTAGTGGTCAAAACTAAGGGTGATAAAGGGGAGATAATCAAGGTAAATATGCTAGTGGTCAATACTAAGGGTGATAAAGGGGAGATTATCAAGGTAAATATAGTAGTGGTCAATACTAAGGGTGATAAAGGGGAGATAATCAAGGTAAATATGGTAGTGGTCAATACTAAGGGTGATAAACGGGAGATAATCAAGGTAAATACGGTAGTGGTCAATACTAAGGGTGATAAAGGGGAGGTAATCAAGGTAAATATGGTAGTGGTCAATACTAATGGTGATAAAGGGGAGGTAATCAAGGTAAATATGCTAGTGGTCAATACTAAGGGTGATAAAGGGGAGATTATCAAGGTAAATATAGTAGTGGTCAATACTAAGGGTGATAAAGGGGAGATAATCAAGGTAAATATGGTAGTGGTCAATACTTAGGTTAATAAAGGGGAGATAATCAAGGTAAATATAGTAGTGGTCAATACTAAGGGTGATAAAGGGGAGGTAATCAAGGTAAATATGCTAGTGGTCAATAATAGGTAATATTGATTTAGATCAGGGAGACCAGGGGGTTGTCACTTGTATCGAGTGTTACAATATGATGTGACAGTGTTGTATGTTGTATGATGTTGTGTGTTGTATGATGTTACAATATTGACTGTTTTATCCAGTTTATATACACATGGGCAGATGTATGGGGTTAGAAGGATTAGGTCTACTTCAGAGTATTTTACCTGTGTTTAACCTGTGTTATGTCCTGTTGTTACCTCAGCCATATATTATCATTTATTTCATAGTTGCGTTATTGAAAAATCAACTTAAAAATACAGAGAAAGAAATGCATTTCTTACTGATAGTGTGGTATTGAACAGTTTTAAAATATTATTCATAAATCTCTTGATGTGTTTAAAGTATCTTAAAAACTGTCTTACAAATCAATTGATAATATACATACATGTATATATAAATGTTGAGGTTAGTATGCATGATTACTCCATGCTATCATTTACATACTGATGACCATGATCATCATGTGCATCTTAAGTTTCATTGAAATGTGTGGTATATTAATGTAATGAAAATATATCGCTGGAATTAACGGTACTTTAATGCTGTCCTATGTGATGTATTGTGTCCAGAAAGAGAATGTGTGGTATGAGATGTGTGGTATGGGATGTGTGGTATGGGGTGTGCAGCATGGGGTGGGCAGTAAGAGAATGCATGTGTGGCAGGTTTTAATTGTACATAGGATTACGGTCGCCTTCTAGCTTCGAGTTAGAAGGAATTTCCCTTTCACTCGGTGGTAGAGTGTCTGACTAGCAACCTGGAGATCAATGGTTTGATCCCCGGTGGAAGCACACTGTTCTCTTTCCTGTTACACATGATATGATGTCAGGTGAATGGTATTGAGTGCAGAATGAGAAAGTGGGGCATTTTGTCTGGTGTGGGATGTTGTGATGTGCAGTATGAGGTGTGGTGTTTCGTTGAGTGTGGGATGTTGTAATGTGCAGTATGAGGTGTGGCGTTTCGTTCAGTGTGGGATGGTGGTGTAAAGTGCAGTGTATTGTGTGTAGTATTGAGAGTGTAAGGTGTTGTGTCTGGTGTTGTATGTGTGGTGACAGTGTGGGATGTTGGGTGTTGTGACAGTATGGTGTGTTGTATGTGTTTTGACAATGAGGGTTGTTGTATGTGTTGTGACTGCATGTGGTGTTTTGAGTGTTATATGTGTTGTATGTGTTGTGACAGTGTGGTTTGTTGTATGTGTTGTGACAGTGTGGTTTATTGTATGTGTTGTGACAGTGTGGTGTATGTGGTGTGACAGTGTTGTGTGTTAAATGTGTTGTGACAGTGTTGTGTTTTGTATGTGTTGTGACAGTGTGATGTGTTGTGACAGTATTGGGTCTTGTGTGTTGTATGTGTTGTGACAGTGTGGTGTGTTGTATGTGTTGTGACAGTGTGGTGTGCTGTATGTGTTGTGACAGTGTGTTGTGTTGTATGTGTTGTGACAGTGTGGGATGTTGTGTTGTATGTGTTTCGACAGTGTGGAGTGTTGTATGTGTTGTGACAGTATGGGGTGGGGGTGTTTTGTGTGTTGTGACAGTGTGGGCAGTTGTATGTGTTGTGACAGTGTGGGGTGTTGTATGTGTTGTGAGAGTGTTGTGTGTTGGTTGTTGTATGTGTTATGACAGTGTGATGTGTTGTGACTGTGTATGGTGTTGTGTGTTGTTTGTGTTGTGACAGTGTGGGATGTTGTGTTGTATGTGTTTCAACAGTGTGGGGTGTTGTATGTGTTGTGACAGTATGGGGTGGGGTGTTGTGTGTGTTGTGACAGTGTGGGGTGTTGTATGTGTTTTGACAGTGTGGGGTGTTGTATGTGTTTTGACAATGTGGGGTGTTGTATGTGTTTTGACAGTGTGGGATGTTGTATGTGTTTTGACAGTGTGGGTGTTATGTGTTGTGACAGTGTGGGGTATGTGTTGTGACAGTGTGGGGTGTTGTGTGTGTTTTGATAGTGTGGGGTGTTGTGACAGTGTGGGATGTTGTGTGGGATATGTGTTTTGACAGTGTGGGGTGTTGTATGTGTTGTGACAGTGTGGGATGTTGTATGTGTTGTGACAGTGTGGGGTGTTGTGTGGGGTATGTGTTGTTACAGTGTGGGGTGTTGAGTGGGGTATGTGTTGTTACAGTGTGGGGTGTGGGGTGTTTTATATTAGTGTGGGATGTTTTGTATATATATACAGTAGGGTATATAAAACAGGATACTGCTGTTTAGTTTAATCATACTGTCTGTTAATATACATGATATCATCTGATGTAGGGTTATGATAAAATAGTATTTACTCCTGACAAGTTTACCAAGTAAATGCGCATGTTATTTTTCTATGTTTGCTTTTCTTTGGCATTTTGCCCATTCATACCTATACAGCTTTACATTGGTAGCTATCGGTATTGTACTGGTATCTGTATATGGAAACGTGATCAGGTTCCCGAGGAACAGGGTATTACCAAGGTCAGAAAGGAGCTCATGGAACAAAGGGTCTGGGATGGGCTGTACTTGTAACTGTTGCATAGCAGGTATTTCTGCACTGTTTAAAATGAAAGCTTGTAGGTAGTAATATGTGGTGTAGGAATGTGATATTGACATCCCTGGATGTACTGGTATTAACTATTACATAGCAATTACTCCCATTCTTCAACCAAGATCTCTGGCTTTGCCCCTGATTGGCGGGGACATTTTTACACTTTCGGAAATGTGAGCTTATGCTGTGGTTTGTGGTTTATCGTCCATCCGCCTTCTGTCTTTTTTCCTCTAAATGACTTTTGGTACCTTCTTTAAATGAGCCCAACAAAATTTGTCAAAAAATTGCCTTGACCTACTATCAAGATTACAAGGGTAAAGTATGTATAAAACAACTTTTTCTAAGAATCAAAAGGCTAATAATAGGGTCATGATATTTGGCTGGTAGCTCCCTGAGATGGATCCTGACAACGTTTGAGGAAAAAAGGACCTTTATTTACAATTAACCTGCACGGTAAGCGTGCTTACAATTAACTTGAACGGTAAGCGTGACGGCTTACAATTTACCTATACTGTAAGCGTGACGGCTTACAATTTACTTGTACTGTAAGCGTGACGGCTTACAATTAACTTGAACGGTAAGTGTGACGGCTTACAATTAAATTAACCTGTACGATAGGCGTGCTAACAATTAACCTGTACTGTAAGCGTGACGGCTTACAATTTACCTGTACTGTAAGCGTCACGGCTTACAATTAACTTGAACGGTAAGTGTGACGGCTTACAATTAAATTAACCTGTACGATAGGCGTGCTTACAATTAACCTGTACTGTAAGCGTGACGGCTTACAATTTACCTGTACTGTAAGCGTGACGGCTTACAATTAACCTGCACGGTAAGCGTGACGGCTTACAATTTACCTGTACGGTAAGCGTGACGGCTTACAATTTACCTTTACTGTAAGTGTGACGGCTTACAATTAACCTGCACGGTAAGCTTAACGGCTTACAGTTAACCTGTACGGTACGGGTGAAGGCTTACAATTAAACTGTACGGTACGCGTAACAGCTTAAAATTAACCTGTTAGGTAAGCGTGACGGCTTACAATTAAACTGTACGTTAGCATGACAATTCCGATTTTCCGATTTTTTTCTTTCTTGACTGTTACACTACCCTCCCTATTCCCAAACCTCTGCTGTGTACATGTCATAGTCAATTGGTTACTCGAGACCATGTCCCGATTATCATGGTTTCCATGATTAATATGGACTGTTGAAGGAAAACAACACAGCTTTTCGAGATATGGAGTTGGATGAAGAAAATGATATTATGGGGAGATATTTTTATCTTTTAAGTGACATGATGGTCGATGTTTTTATTGTGCTCAGTTGTGATTTATTCAGGGGAAATAAATGCCATTATTCTGGAGATTTGACACGGGTGCTTCTTTGGCTTTTCTCACTATTTACACAATAATAAAAATGAAGTATTTATTCTTTGTGGGACTTCAACTTTAGTCAGTGCACTTTCTGTAATATATGTATAAGTATACTGCAGTTGAATTGCACTGTATCTAAAGTTGACTGAGAATACAGTAGAAAGAGAAACATCAAGACCAACGGACAGGACATGAATACCTAGATACACAAAGAAACAGTCTCATTTAAGTGTTACGAGAATTTTCTATGTCCTGTTATTATAAATGATAGTGACCTATTCATTTTACGACTGTAGTTTATCAATGAAATTTTACATACATGTACAGTTTGCTCTTCAATGCACTATGTGACCTCTTCATATTTATTTTATGTAATACATTGGACAAGTGCAACTTAAAAATTCGAAAAAAAGTGATAAAATTTCATACATTAGTTAGCATAATACTACCTGATTGGTCGACGGCTTCTGCACAATAACTAAGTAAAAAAGGACAGGATTCTGATGAGACTTGGTCAATATTTACACTCTGTCTAGTAGAGAATGAGACTTGGTCAATATTTACACTCTGTCTAGTAGAGAATGAGACTTGGTCAATATTTACACTCTGTCTAGTAGAGAATGAGACTTGGTCAATATTTACACTCTGTCTAGTAGAGAATGAGACTTGGTCAATATTTACACTCTGTCTAGTAGAGAATGAGACTTGGTCAATATTTACACTCTGTCTAGTAGAGAATGAGACTTGGTCAATATTTACACTCTGTCTAGTAGAGAATGAGACTTGGTCAATATTTACACTCTGTCTAGTAGAGAATGAGACTTGGTCAATATTTACACTCTGTCTAGTAGAGAATGAGACTTGGTCAATATTTACACTCTGTCTAGTAGAGAATGAGACTTGGTCAATATTTACACTCTGTCTAGTAGAGAATGAGACTTGGTCAATATTTACACTCTGTCTAGTAGAGAATGAGACTTGGTCAATATTTACACTCTGTCTAGTAGAGAATGAGACTTGGTCAATATTTACACTCTGTCTAGTAGAGAATGAGACTTGGTCAATATTTACACTCTGTCTAGTAGAGAATGAGACTTGGTCAATATTTACACTCTGTCTAGTAGAGAATGAGACTTGGTCAATATTTACACTCTGTCTAGTAGAGAATGAGACTTGGTCAATATTTACACTCTGTCTAGTAGAGAATGAGACTTGGTCAATATTTACACTCTGTCTAGTAGAGAATGAGACTTGGTCAATATTTACACTCTGTCTAGTAGAGAATGAGACTTGGTCAATATTTACACTCTGTCTAGTAGAGAATGAGACTTGGTCAATATTTACACTCTGTCTAGTAGAGAATGAGACTTGGTCAATATTTACACTCTGTCTAGTAGAGAATGAGACTTGGTCAATATTTACACTCTGTCTAGTAGAGAATGAGACTTGGTCAATATTTACACTCTGTCTAGTAGAGAATGAGACTTGGTCAATATTTACACTCTGTCTAGTAGAGAATGAGACTTGGTCAATATTTACACTCTGTCTAGTAGAGAATGAGACTTGGTCAATATTTACACTCTGTCTAGTAGAGAATGAGACTTGGTCAATATTTACACTCTGTCTAGTAGAGAATGAGACTTGGTCAATATTTACACTCTGTCTAGTAGAGAATGAGACTTGGTCAATATTTACACTCTGTCTAGTAGAGAATGAGACTTGGTCAATATTTACACTCTGTCTAGTAGAGAATGAGACTTGGTCAATATTTACACTCTGTCTAGTAGAGAATGAGACTTAGTCAATATTTACACTCTGTCTAGTAGAGAATGAGACTTGGTCAATATTTACACTCTGTCTAGTAGAGAAATCTGCAGGTAATCAATGAACAGTAGAAACATCTTTGGTTTTAATGGTGTAGGATGAATTGATTATTGGTAAAAAGGGTCAATTTCAATTCTATTTCCATGGTTTGAAATATATACAAAGGGAGACAATTAATATGAAAACCAATTTTTTAAAAGTCATTTTTTCTCCTTTCACCACATTCCAGAAATAATTCTCAACTTTATGGAGTAGTACAGTACAAACGTTGTTTCTTTTTGCATTTCCATATTTTTATTCATTATTTACTTAACATCTTTCTGATGCATTATTGTATGTCAGATTGGCACAGGACGGGCATATAAAATATTGTTCTGCCCTGTGCTACTCTTTTTACAGATAATTTCACTCTAAGGTCACAATATCCTGACAAAGCTGAATACAACTGATAAAATCTATACATATGACATCATGATGGTTGAGATGATGAAACTTAAAACCAGAAGATAAAATATATATAACACAAAGTACAAAGTTACAGACTTACACTGACACGAGAAACTAGAGGCACAATTAAGGGGCTAATAGATCACCCAGAATTTTATTTTCAGTTCAAAAGCAGTTGAATAGCATACTTGTTTATCTAAAGAGTACAAAAAATATAAGCTATAACAAGGGCATAATCTCTAGGGGTGGGCAAGACTTCGAGGACATTGTTTCTTCATTCCCTGCATTGTGGTTAGAGGAGGGGAATCTCAACTGTTCCCATGGTTTGATACCAGTCCTCGGGGACCAGGCCAGACATTAAGGCCATTCCTAATAGCAAGAGTGTATTCATCTCTTCTGCCTAACGATTGTATTCACGGTGATAGGGTGGGAATCTCAACTTTTTCAAAGTAATGACCCAGTGATTAAGGCCAAAGCAGTTGGGGTTGGTCCTTATGTCAATCTTGGTGACATGACTTCTCTATTTCTTCATTATGCCATGCAAATATATACATATATATAGTTTTACATAGTCGGTCGTTATTTTTTTTCTATATTTACTTACTTCACATGGACATTTATTCCTTCTTTATCATATATATATATATATATATTAGATAATAAAGAAGCAAGTTCTTGTGAAAGAAAATAGGGAATAAAATAACAAGTATACAAAACTGAGCGCTAGGACTTTCTGCCTTCTTGGGCTTCTTCAGGTCTGCCTGATACAACCTAAAGATTTAGACTCCCCTTGGCCCAAGGGTGCTCTACACCATATTTGATTCAAATTTCTGGATGCTTTCTGAAGAAGAAGGAATTTAAAGTTTCACCTCTATTTCCCCTATTGGACCCATCTTTTCCTCCCTGATGAGAGCCAACCACTCAATTTATATAACTTTGAGTCTCCTTGGCCCAAGGATGCTCTAGACGAAATTTTGTTTTAATCCCTTCGTCTGTATTGAAGGAGAAGTGTTGTGTATTTAAAATATTTGAATGTGTCCAATATTGTATCCCACCCTTCATGCCCCCAGGGGTGGGGACACACTCTCCATTTATATTACATTGTGTTCTCTTAGCCTAACGGTGCTCTGGACCAAATTTGGTCAAAATACATTTAGCTATTCTTGACTAGTAGTGTTTTAAAGAAAAAGTTGATGATAGACAGATGACAGACACAGCACCACAGCATAAACTCACTTTGCCCATCAAGCTAGAAAGGGGCACTATTGTAGTGTCATATTGTTTTTCTGATCATGTGACTGTCTGTCTGTCTGTCTCTCTGTCTCTCAACAGTTTTTGCTCTATGACATAACTTATCTATTTTCAATCTTCGTTTAACTTCACGATGTTGTTATTTTTAAGAAAGAAATAGACAGTCCTTATAGGTTTCGTTTCAAGGTTATTAAAGCATATAAGGTTACAATAATGTTAAGATTGTTTAATGCTTTCAGTAAACAAAATTTGTTTATGTTCACAGTAGATCTATTAAAGATTATCTCCAGCAAAGAAAAGTCATGGCTTAATTTTTTTTTTTTTACGTTTAGCTTCATTTTGTGTTAATCTTCCATAAGCTAGCTGGCGTACAACAGGTTTGGCTGTGTACACCGAATGTGTCTGGTTGTTATCTCGGGTAGGCCAGCTGAATAGGGTTACTGGAGCATGATTTAGGTGTATAGCCAAGTCTATCAACCTTACATCTAAATAGGTTATGCCTACAAATTAACATGACGCCATTTTACAATTTTAGGAATATTTTTTGTGATTTTTAACAAAAACAATGACTACTAGGATGGAACCGCAGACTCTAATGGAAGGTAGGTAGTACATATTTCACACAGAGTCAATCTCACCAAACTGTTTCTGATGTAAGAATTGCGCTGTAGCTGGTCACCATTTTGTTGCTATTAAAGTCACTGATAAGCTTAACTTGCAATAAAGGTTTTATTTTGACAAAAGTCAGTGTTGATATACATCAACCTGAGTAAAATGTGTATGGATGTCTTTCTTTTTAAACCTAAATAAGATATGTAGGTTATTGTTTAAATACCTCAGTAAGACATGTATGTCAGTGTTTATATAAGACATGTAGGTCAGTTTTTTTTATACCTCCGTAAGACATGTATGTAAGTGTTTATATAACTCAGTAAGACATGTATGTTAGTCTTTATATAACTCAGTAAGACATGTATGTTAGTCTTTATATACCTCAATAAGACATGTATGTTAGTCTTTATATACCTCAGTAAGACATGTATGTTAGTATTTATATACCTCAATAAGACATGTATGTTAGTCTTTATATAACTCAGTAAGACATGTATGTCGGTGTTTATTTACCTCAGTAAGACATGTATGTCAGTGTTTATAGAACTCAGTAAGACATGTATGTCGGTGTTTATTTACCTCAGTAAGACATGTATGTTAGTCTTTATATACCTCAGTAAGACATGTATGCTAGTCTTTATATACCTCAGTAAGACATGTATGTTAGTCTTTATATACCTCAGTAAGACATGTATGTCAGTGTTTATAGAACTCAGTAAGACATGTATGTTAGTCTTTATTTACCCCAGTAAGACATGTATGTCGGTGTTTATAGAACTCAGTAAGACATGTATGTCAGTGTTTATAGAACTCAGTAAGACATGTATGTTAGTGTTTATATAACTCAGTAACACATGTATGTTAGTCTTTATATACCTCAGTAAGACATGTATGCTAGTCTTTATATACCTCAGTAAGACATGTATGTCGGTGTTTATATACCTCACTAAGACATGTATGTCGGTGTTTATACAACTCAGTAAGACATGTATGTTAGTGTTTATATAACTCAGTAAGACATGTATGTCGGTGTTTATATACCTCAGTAAGACATGTATGTCGGTGTTTATACAACTCAGTAAGACATGTATGTTAGTGTTTATATAACTCAGTAACACATGTATGTCCGTGTTTATTTACCTCAGTAAGACATGTATGTTAGTCTTTATATACCTCAGTAAGACATGTATGTCGGTGTTTATACAATTCAGTAAGACATGTATGTTAGTGTTTATATAACTCAGTAAGACATGTACGTCGGTGTTTATATAACTCAGTAAGACATGTATGTCGGTGTTTATTTACCTCAGTAAGACATGTATGTCAGTGTTTATAGAACTCAGTAAGACATGTATGTTAGTCTTTATATACCTCAGTAAGACATGTATGTCTGTGTTTATACAATTCAGTAAGACATGTATGTTAGTGTTTATATAACTCAGTAACACATGTATGTCCGTGTTTATTTACCTCAGTAACACATGTATGTTAGTCTTTATATACCTCAGTAAGACATGTATGTCGGTGTTTATACAACTCAGTAAGACATGCATTATCAATGTTTATATACCTCAGTTAGTGATAGTGTGATTAATTTAAGCATTGAAAAATTGTCTGAGTGTTAAATTGTGTTTATATTTCTGAAACATTTAATGCTCCTTATCAACAAAAATATTGGTTAATGTCTACTATGACGGGTTTAAAAACCTATACAAGTTTGACATGGTGAGTTGTTGAAACCTTTCATGGAAGGATTTTATCTATTGATTGAAATAACGACCATCAAGAAGGCTTTCATTGATCAACAGAGTTCCGGTTTCAGAATAACTTGCTCTGTGACTCAGAAGAGCTAGTTAGTGGACGTTTTACTGTTTGGTTGTCATATGCAGGCTATTCAATGTGTATTGTCATGTGTATGTCTTTTCATTGGAATCAGATTTATTATCAGAATCATGATACTTTTCCTGTTTTGAGTCCCCCACTGCTTCATGCATGATTTTAGGCTTGCACTTAGTCCACTCATCAGTCCTTCCTTTGACCTCCACCTTTGAAAAACTTTGTCTGGGGCATATCTTCTATACTTTTTCAACTGGAGTGATCATATTTGGTTTGCAAGTTCATCTTGGGATGTCAGAGTACGGGATTTCAAAAGTAGGTCACTGTGACCTATTCTTTGATCTTTGACCTTAACCTTTCAAAAAAATTGTTTGGGACATATCTTCCATGCTCTTTTACCAGGAATAACCAGATTTGGAAAGCAAGAATATCTTGGGATGGTAGAGAAAAGAGTATGAGAAGAAAGTTGTTGTTACCTAGGCTTTGACCCTTGACCTCAACCTTTTAAATGATTTGACTGGGCCATATCTCCTATACTATTTTACCAGGATTAACCAAATTTAGTTTGCAAGTATATCTTACGATGATGGAGTGCACTTTCCTAAAGTATGTCACTGTGGTATGTGCTTTAACCCCTGAACTTAGTCATTGAAAAAGATTGGTCACAGCTTGTCTTCTATACTATTTCTCCTGTAGTTCTGAGGTATATTCTAAGATGACAGATTTCGCTGTATGAAAAGCAAGTCACAGTGATCTATATCAATCCTCTGATGACAATCACTGGAAACATTTGCCCTATTCTGTACCAAGGTACTTTACAGTAAGTTTGTACTGCGATAGGTGTAAAGCTCTGTTAATAAAGAAATGTTACACATGGGAGACTATCTATGGATTGCCTTGTAATGCTTTCCCTTGTTTGTTTTTGATGGCTCAATAAAATTAGTACAGTATTATGACAGTTTTATTGCATTCAGATTTACTTCAATCTGCAAGGTTTGCGAGCTGTATATATACCTAGGCCACGAGATTAGGATACATGAGTAGTGTGGCATAGGTGAGAGATATCTTTTTACATTGTCTTTAATTGATTACACAACCAGATAACCACATTCTACCTTTAATCAATTGAATGATCTGTTTATAAAGAGAGGCAGTTGACGGGACTAAAATGTTCTTTTATCATGGCGCTGGTGTATCAATTTGATGATGTCTCCATATTTCATAGGAACTTTATTTTGGCTTGGAAAACTGAAACTCCCTTAAAAGAATGGAAATCTTCCTTAAACATTGGCCTTGATGTCAGAATTTCCTATTTTTGACAATTTGTTTCAAAAACAACACTAAAAGATTTTGTTGTTTAGAAAGCATTGGATCAATGCAGTTTAATGAACAGATCTTAATTTAAAAACACTGTTCAGCATGAAAGAAAATTCATTATTCCAATTGTGGTAAAAGAATGTTTGTGGTTCAAATTTCTATACATAAATGTATTCAAAACCACAAGGAGAGAAAATCACATGTATGATATACTGGACATATTTGTGGGACTCAGTTTTAGATTTCTTTGTTACTGGAAAAATCACCAAAATTTATAATTGAAATGGTAAACTATTGCCAAATTCCCTCACAGATATACATGTTTATATGTATGAGATCCCTTACAAATATACATGTATGTATGAACTCCCTCACAGATACACATGTATGTATGAACTCCTGGCTCACAAATACACATGTATGTATGAACTCTGGGCTCACAGATACACATGTATGTATGAACTCCTTCACAGATATACATGTATGTATGAACTCCTTCACAGATACACATGTATGTATGAACTCCTGGCTCATATATACACATGTATGTATGAACTCCCTCACAGATATACATATATGTATGAACTCCTTCACAGATATACATATATGTATGAACTCCTTCACAGATATACATGTATGTATGAACTCCTGGCTCACAGATACACATATATGTATGAACTCCCTCTCAGATATACATGTATGTATGAACTCCTTCACAGATATACATATGAACTCCCTCACTGATACACATGTATGTATGATCTCCTTCACAGATATACATATATGTATGAACTCCCTCACAGATATACATATATGTATGAACTCCCTCACTGATATACATGCATGTATTAACTCCTTCACAGATATACATATATGTATGAACTCTCTCACTGATACACATGTATGTATGATCTCCTGGCTCACAAATACACATGTATGTAGGAACTCCCTCACTGTTGCACATGTATGTATGAGATCCTTCACAGATATACACATGTATGTATGAACTCCTGGCTCATATATACACATGTATGTATGAACTCCCTCACTGATACACATGTATGTATGAACTCCCTCACAGATACAAATGTATGTATTAACTCCCTCACAGATACACATGTATGTATGAACTCCCTCACAGATATACATGTATGTATGAACTCGCTCACAGACACAAATGCACAATGAACTCCCTCATAAATACACATGCATGTGCACAGAGTACACATTGACATTGTTGTCAGTTTTTCAAACAATTGCACACACAATACAGTTGAATCAGTCTTTAGATATGTGTTGCTTTTGTGTTCATTATGTAAGCAGTAGAACATCACAGTACAACAATACTTCCTGTTGGACTTTACCTGGAGACCTTGGTATATTCAGGTATGCTAATCTAGTGTATAAATGACCTTGTTATGAATGACCTTGAGACAGTTTGATTATAAAATCATTCCAAGTATATAAGAATACTGAGAAAAATCTGTATATATATTTTTTTTTTTTCATTTCACAAGAAATGTCATTTGTACTTTGGTTATTTGTACTTAGTTTTCCTCATTCTGGAGACATTTGATATACATGCAAGAGATTGGGACATTTTCATTGGTTACACTATCTATTACACCATGTAAATGGACTTAAACATCGTAAAAAGAGCAAGTCTGAATGCCTTGCAAGTCTTTAATTTGTGTATTTGTCATGGTGATGTGGGCAGGAACATGGAGTCCTGTGTAAATGGGGAGGGTTCTGTGGAATTACCGGTGATATATAAACATTGTGGGAGAAAGGAGTCTACAAACTTGAAATGATTGTTCATCATGTTTGCATTTTAATTTAGAAGTTTAAAATTCACTTGGTATATCTTGTCTCTTTTGAAGTGAAATTAATTGATTGGAGTTAAACATCACTCATTGAATAGACTAGAGAGAGTTGTTAAATCTGTCACTAAAAATTGGTCGTCAATAAAGGCGTAATGTGTCGACTAGCTGTATGTACATATATATATATGCCACACCTCCCTTTCTCTACCACACCTCCCTTTTCTCTGGCTGCCACACCTCCCTTTCTCTGCCACACCTCCCTCCCTTTTCTTTGTCACACCTCCCTTCCTTTCCTCTGCCACACCTCCCTCCCTTTTCTCTGCCACACCTCCCTCCCTTTTCTTTGTCACACCTCCATCCCTTTCATCAAAGACATCACTATTTACAACTAAGGTTCAGGTATCCCCTTGCCAAGTATACACCAACAGCTTGAAACAATGAGGCACAGTCACCGCTGTAACAGGAGAAAGAGAAATAAACTGCAAACTTGGAATTTTAACCTGCTCTAACCAATTAGCTGGTGGCCAGTGATCAACATAGTTCCGTTACACATACATTTGGGGACACAGTCAGTATTTCCTGTGATCACATACTCATTATGATGAAGTTAGTCTGGTAAAGCTATGTATTAAGTGTTATTCTCACCTTTAACTGATGAGTTACTATTGTAATGTGACAGGGAACAGTGACATGTATATTAGTTACCTTTGACTGATGAGTTACTATTGTTATGTGACAGGGAACAGTGACATGTATATATTAGTTACCTTTGACTGATGAGTTACTATTGTTATGTGACAGGGAACAGTGACATGTATATATTAGTTACCTTTGACTGATGAGTTACTATTGTTATGTGACAGGGAACAGTGACATGTATATATTAGTTACCTTTAACTGATAAGTTACTATTGTTATGTGACAGGGAACAGTGACATGTATATATCAGTTACCTTTGACTGATGAGTTACTGTTGTCATGTGACAGGGAACAGTGACATGTATATATATTAGTTACCTTTGACTGATGAGTTACTATTGTTATGTGACAGAGAACAGTGACATGTATATATATTAGTTACCTTTGACTGATGAGTTACTATTGTGTTGTGACAGGGAACAGTGACATGTGTATATTAGTTACCTTTGACGGATGAGTTACTATTGTTATGTGACAGGGAACTGTGACATGTATATATTAGTTACCTTTGACTGATGAGTTACTGTTGTTATGTGACAGGGAACAGTGACATGTATTTATTAGTTACCTTTGACTGATGAGTTACTATTGTTATGTGAGAGGGAACAGTGACATGTATATTAGTTACCTTCGACTGATGAGTTACTATTGTTATGTGACAGAGAACAGTGACATGTATATATATTAGTTACCTTTGACTGATGAGTTACTATAGTTATGTGACAGGGAACAGTGACATGTGTATATTAGTTTTCTTTGACTGATGTGTTACTATTGTTATATGACAGGGAACAGTGACATGTATATATTAGTTACCTTTGACTGATGAGTTACTATAGTTATGTGACAGGGAACAGTGACATGTGTATATTAGTTACCTTTGACTGATGAGTTACTGTTGTTATGTGACAGGGAACAGTGACATGTATTTATTAGTTACCTTTGACTGATGAGTTACTATAGTTATGTGACAGGGAACAGTGACATGTGTATATTAGTTACCTTTGACTGATGAGTTACTATTGTTATGTGACAGGGAACAGTGACATGTATATATTAGTTACGTTTGATGGAAAATGTCAGACAGATAAGACAAGCAAAGTGTCACTAGAACAACGATTACACATCACTGACCTAGATCGGGAGTGTATTAAGAGATTACAATGGCTGGTTTGCTTGTTTACAGAGTATTACCTTGGCACAAAGTTATGTAATCTGATACTGCAATGTCACGACAGCTGAGGTTTTGTTAAGGTAATGATTTACTCATCTCAGACTTATTACCCATCATTTTGTTATTTCAGACTAATTACCCATCATTTTGTTATTACAAACTCGGATTTCACATCATCTTTAGCACATCAGATAAAAAGGATCTGTGGAACAGGCAAAATGGTCATATATGACAATTATATCAAGATTATTCGTGGCCTGTATAATATACAGAGACATTTTTGCTTGTCAAATTTTCGCCCTTCCCAAATTAAATCAATTTTCGCCCAGTGTTAATTTCGCCCTTGACATTTCATTACTATGTATATTATGTTGTTAACCTAAGTCTGCTGCAATGATTTGCCTTCATTGCGGAGGGCACAAAAGGCGAAAATAAACTACAGCGAAAATTTCACAGTAAACAGTAAATTACATGTACATGTCACATGTACAACTGTTTCAGAATAAATGGTTACATTTGTACACATTTGACAACTGTTTCAATATAAATGTTTATATTTTTATACTTTTGACAACTGATTTAGACAATTAACAACTTTTGTATGCATATATGTCAACTGTTTAAGATATATTTTTATACTTGTACACATACACAAAAAAAGTGTTTCAGTGTCATGCATAAAATGTACCTCCTGCTTAAATAGTATCCGGATACTTTTTATACCCTACCAAAAAGTACCCCCCCTGTATAAAAAGCACCCCCCTATGAAAAAAGATAATGTTTAAATTTTTTAATCAAAAACAGTTCAGAAGTTGATCAGAAGGTTACAGTTGCATGTTTATCCACCCCTACCCCACCAATCCCCACCCCCGGGGCCAGGAAATTATGCTAAAATAATTTTCAATCACTGGACACAATTAGGTTTGGGGAGTCGAGTAGAAACATTTACAGTTATATATATGTTATAGTCATTACCCAAGCTATCTTTAACTCCCCACCCCCCGAATACTTTGTATACACCCGACCAAAATGTACCCCCCCCGGATACTTTTTATACCCTGACCAAAAAGTACCCCCCTATGAAAAAATGATTTTTCTCTTTTTTTTTACCCAATTGAGTTCAGAATTTGATCAGGATGTAACAGTCGAATATTTATCCACCCCTTCCCCACAATCCCCTTTCTTCTTATCAACTGCATTTATATATTTATTCAGGCTTTTATATAATTATGCAATGTGCATTTTTTTTTTATATTAATTTTCATTTTTATCTGTCACACTCAATTATACTTTATTTTGGATAAAACACATTGAAATTTTACATTTTTCATGAGTTGAAGATAGGTTGGGTAATGACTATAACATAACTGTAAATGTTTTTACATGACTCCCCAAATCTATTGTATCCAGTGATTAAAAATTATTTCGGCATAAATTCCTGGCCCCGGGGGTGGGGGTTGGTGGGTAAGGGGTGGATAAATATTCCCCTGTAATGTCCTATTCAAGTCCTGAACTTAATTAGATTAAAAATAGAGAAATATATTTTTTTTCACAGGGGGGTACTTTTTATGCAGGGGGGGGGGGTTACATTTTATGCAGGTATAAAAAGTATCCGGATACTTTTTGGTAGGGGGGTACTTTTTATGCATGACACCGGGGTTCTAATACATGTATACCAGTTAAAAGAGTGAACAGGTTATTCTGTTCCATGAAAAGGCGAATTTGTTTTACTGTGTATTGTGAAAAGGGTGATCCGGTTCACTGTATCATGAAAAGGGTGAATGGGCTAAATCACTGTATTGTGAAAATGAAAATCAGTTTACCATATCAAGAATAGGGTGAAGGGGTTTTAATTTACAACTTGTAACAAGTGAAATTTAAAATGGGTTCACTGTAACAGCGAAAATGGTGATTGGATCTGATTTTACTGTATCTTAAAAATGGTGATTGGATTTTACTGTAATATGAAAAGCATGACTTGCTTTACTCAAAACTGTGCCATATGATAAGGGTGAATGGGTTCTAGTGTATAATGAAGAGGGTAAAAAGATTTTACTTTGTCATGAAAGGAGTGAATAGGCTTTACTTTATGAGCGTAGAGAGACCTATAATACTGTATAATTAATTATTACACAGCACACAGATGCTGTAGTACCTTGATCAACAGGAATTTAACCATTGTATAACATTACCAAACTTTTCTTTTGTCCTCAGCACTATAATTTACAATGGAGAAGAAAGATAAGTTCCGTGGTATCCCATTGATACACCTGCCAGTTGCACAACAAATACGTCTGGCAAATCGACTGGACCAGGACGATGGGTCAGGCAAGGATTACTTTGTCTTTGCACAAACTCTGGAAAAAATGTGTGGGTTCAAATTTGGAATTGCAGAATATAATGCCTTGAAGGTAAATACTTATCTATATTAATTATTTATTGGTAATATCTGGTGAATGCAGTGTCTAGTGACTACAGTATCTATTGACTGTAATATCTAGTGAATGTTATATCTAGTGAATGTAGTATCTAGTGAATGTAATATATAGTGAATGTAATATCTAATGAATGTAATATATAGTGAATGTAATATCTAGTGAATGTAATATATAACGAATGTAATATCTAGTAAATGTAATATATAGTGAATGTAATATCTAGTGAATGTAATATCTAGTGAATGTAGTATCTAGTGACTACAGTATCTATTGACTGTAATATCTAGTGAATGTTATATCTAGTGACTACAGTATCTAATGACTGTAATATCTAGTGAATATAGTATCTAAAGAATGTAATATCTAGTGAATGTAATATCTATAGTGACTACAGTATCAAATGAATGTAATATCTAGTGAATGTAGTATCTAAAGAATGTAATATCTAAGAATGTAATATCTAGTGAATCTAATATCTATAGTGACTACAGTATCAAATGAATGTAATATCTAGTTAATGTAGTATCTAAAGAATGTAACATCTAGTGAATGTTATATCTAGTAAATGAAGTATCTAAAGAATGTAATATCTAAGAATGTAATATCTAGTGAACGTAATATTTATTGAATGTAATATCTAGTGAATGTTATATCGAGTGAATGTAATATCTAGTGATCGAGTATCTAATGAATGTAATATCTAGTGAATGTGATATCTAGTGAATGTAATATCTAGTGACTACAGTATCTATTGACTGTAATATCTAGTGAATGTTATATCTAGTAAATGTAGTATCTAAAGAATGTAATATCTAGTGAATGTTATATCTAGTGACTACAGTATCTATTGACTGTAATATCTAGTGACTACAGTATCTATTGACTGTAATATCTAGTGACTACAGTATCTATTGACTGTAGTATCTAGTGACTACAGTATCTATTGACTGTAATATATAGTGAATGTAATATCTAGTGACTACAGTGTCTATTGACTGTAATATCTAGTGAATGTAGTATCTACCGAATGTAATATCTAGTATCTAGTGAATGTAATATCTAGTGACTAAAGTATCTATTGACTGTAATATCTAGTGAATACAGTATCTATTGACTGTAATATCTAGTGAATGTAGTATCTAAAGAATGTAATATCTAGTGAATGTAGTATCTATAGTGACTACAGTATCTATTGACTGTAATATCTAGTGAATGTAATATCTAGTGAATGTAATATCTAGTGACTACAGTATCTATTGACTGTAATATATAGTGAATGTTATATCTAGTGAATGTAGTATAAAAAGAATGTAATATATAGTGAATGTAATATTTATTGAATGTAATATCTAGTGAATGTAGTATCTAAAGAATGTAATAGCTAGTGAATGTAATATCTAGTGACTACAGTATCTATTGACTGTAATATCTAGATATTACATTCACTAGATATTACAGTCAATAGATAATGTAGTATCTATAGTGACTACAGTATCTATTGACTGTAATATCTAGTGAATGTTATATCTAGTGAATGTAGTATAAAAAGAATGTAATATCTAGTGAATGTAATATTTATTGAATGTAATATCTAGTGAATGTAGTATCTAAAGAATGTAATATCTAGTGAATGTAATATCTATAGTGACTACAGTATCTATTGACTGTAATATATAGTGAATGTAATATCTAGTGACTACAGTATCTATTGACTGTAATATATAGTGAATGTAATATCTAGTGAATGTAATATCTGGTGAATGTAATATCTAGTGACTACAGTATCTAATATCTAGTGAATGTTATATCTAGTGACTACAGTATCTAAAGAATGTAATATCTAGTGGATGTAATATCTAAAGAATGTAATATCTAGTGAGTGTAATATCTAGTGAATGTAGTATCTAGTGACTCCAGTATCTATTGACTGTAATATCTAGTGAATGTTATATCTAGTGAATGTAGTATAAAAAGAATGTAAACTATTGTTATGTGACAGGGAACAGTGACATGTATATTAGTTACCTTTGACTGATGAGTTACTATTGTTATGTGACAGGGAACAGTGACATGTATATATCAGTTACCTTTGACTGATATATACATGTCACTGTTCCCTGTCACATAACTGATAAGTTACTATTGTTATGTGACAGGGAACAGTGACATGTATATATCAGTTACCTTTGACTGATATATACATGTCACTGTTCCCTGTCACATAACTGATAAGTTACTATTGTTATGTGACAGGGAACAGTGACATGTATATTAGTTACCTTTGACTGATGAGTTACTATTGTTATGTGACAGGGAACAGTGACATGTATATATCAGTCAAAGGTAACTGATATATACATGTCACTAGATATTACATTCACTAGATATAACATTCACTAGATATTAGATACTGTAGTCACTAGATATTACATTCACTAGTGAATGTAATATCTAGTGACTACAGTATCTATTGACTGTAGTATCTAAATAATGTAATATCTAAAGAATGTAATATCTAGTGAATGTAATATCTAGTGAATGTAGTATCTAAAGAATGTAATATCTAGTGAATGTAATATCTAGTGACTACAGTATCTATTGACTGTAATATCTAGTGAATGTTATATCTAGTGAATGTAGTATCTAAAGAATGAAATATCTAGTGCATGTAGTATCTAGTGACTACAGTATCTATTGACTGTAATATCTAGTTAATGTTATATCTAGTGAATGTAGTATCTAAAGAATGAAGTATCTAGTGCATGTAGTATCTAGTGACTACAGTATCTATTGACTGTAATGTCTAGTGAATGTTATATCTAGTGAATGTAGTATCTAAAGATTGTAATATCTAGTGAATGTAATATCTAGTATCTAGTGAATGTTATATCTAGTGACTACAGGATCTAATAAATGTAATATCTATTGAATGTCATATCTATTTAATGTAATATCTAGTGAATGTCATATCTAGTGACTATGTAATATCTAGTATCTAGTGAATGTAGTATCTAGTAAATGTAGTATCTAGTGACTAGAGTATCAAATGACTGTAATATCTAGTAAATGTTATATCTAGTGAATGTAGTATCCAAAGAATGAAATATCTAGTGCATGTAGTATCTAAAGAATGAAATATCTAGTGCATGCAGTATCTAGTGACTACAGTATCTATTGACTGTAATGTCTAGTGAATGTTATATCTAGTGAATGTAGTATCTAAAGATTGTAATATCTAGTGAATGTAATATCTAGTGAATGTAGTATCTAAAGATTGTAATATCTAGTGAATGTAATATCTAGTATCTAGTGAATGTAATATCTAGTGACTACAGTATCTATTGACTGTAATGTCTAGTGAATGTTATATCTAGTGAATGTAGTATCTAAAGAATGTAATATCTAGTGAATGTAGTGTCTAAAGATTGTAATATCTAGTGAATGTAATATCTAGTATCTAGTGAATGTTATATCTAGTGACTACAGTATCTAATAAATGTAATATCTATTGAATGTCATATCTATTGAATGTAATATCTAGTGAATGTCATATCTAGTGACTTCAGTATCTAGTGACTACATTACTAGTATCTAGTGAATGTAAAATTTAGTGAATGTAGTATCTAACGAATGTGATATCTAGTGAATGTAATATCTAGTGAATGTATTATCAAGTGACTACAGTATCTAGTGACTAGGGTACCTAGTGATTACAGTATCTACTGACTACAGTATCTAGTAAATCTAGTATCTAGTGAATGTAATATCTAGTGACTACAGTATCTAGTGACTACAGTATCTAATGAATATATTATCTAGTGAATGTAATATTTAATGAATGTCATATCTAACGAATGTAATATCTAGTGAATGTAATATCTAGTGAATGTAGTATCAAGGGAATGTAATATCTAGTAAATGTAATATCTACTGACTACAGTATCTAGTGACTACAGTATCTAATGAATGTAATATCTAGTGAATGTAATATCTAGTGAATGTAGTATCTAGTGACTACACTATCTAGTGACTTCAGTATCTAGTGACTACAGTTTCTAGTGAAGGTGATATCTAATGACTACTGTATCTATTGACTACGGTATATAGTGACTACAGTATCCAGTGACTACTGTATCTATTGACTAGGGTATCTAGTGACTACAGTATCCAGTGACTACTGTATCTATTGACTAGGGTATCTAGTGACTACAGTATCCAGTGACTACTGTATCTATTGACTAGGGTATCTTGTGACTAGGGTATCTAGTGACTAGGGTATCTTGTGACTAGGGTATCTAGTGACTACAGAATCTAGTGACTACTGTATCTAATGTAAAGGGTATCTAGTGACTATAGTATCTAGAAACTAGGGTATCTAATGACTACAGTATCCAGTGACTACTGTATCTATTGACTAGGGTATCTTGTGACTAGGGTATATAGTGACTAGGGTATCTAGTGACTAGGGTATCTAGTGACTACAGTATATAGTGACTACTGTATCTAATGTAAAGGGTATCTAGTGACTATAGTATCTAGAAACTAGGGTATCTAATTACTACAGTATCCAGTGACTACAGTATCTATTGACTAGGGTATCTATTGACTACAGTTTATAGTGACTACAGTATCCAGTGACTAGGGTTTCTAGTGACTACAGTATCTAGTGACTAGGGTATCTAGTGACTACATTATATAGTGACTAGGGTATCTAGTGACTAGGGTATCTAGTGACTAGGGTATCAAGTGACTAGGGAATCTAGTGACTACAGTATCTAGTGACTAGGGTATTTAGTGACAAGGGTATTTAGTGACTACAGTATCTAGTGACTATGGTATCTAGTGACTAGGGTATCAAGTGACTGCAGTATCTAGTGACTAGGGTATCTATTAAATGTAATATCTAGTGAATGTAATATATCGTGAATGTAGTATGTATTGAATGTAATATCTAGTGAATGTAGTATCTAGTGAATGTAATATGTAGTGAATGTAATATCTAGTGAATGTAATATCTAGTGAATGTAGTATCAAGTGAATGTAATATCTAGTGATCGAGTATCTAATGAATGTAATATCTATTGAATGTAATATTTATTGAATGTAATATCTAGTGACAACAGTATCTAGCGAATGTAATATCTAGTGACTACAGTGTCTAGTGAATGTAATATCTAATGAATGTAATATTTAATAAATGTAGTATCTAATGAATGTTATATCTAGTGAATGAAGTATCAAGTGAATGTAATATCTAGTGATCGAGTATCTAATGAATGTAATATCTATTGAATGTAATATTTATTGAATGTAATATCTAGTGACAACAGTATCTAGCAAATGTAATATCTAGTGACTACAGAATCTAGTGAATACAGTATCTGGTGACTACAGGATCTAGTGAATGTATTATATAGTGACTACAGTATCTAGTGACTAGGATACCAAGTGACTACAGTATCTACTGACTACAGTATCTAGTGAATTTAGTATCTAGTGAATGTAATATCTCGTGATTGCAGTATCTAATGAATGTAATATCTAGTGAATGTAATATCAAGTGAATGTAATATCTAGTGAATGTGATATCTACTGACTACAGTATCTAGTGACTACAGTATCTAGTGGCTAGGGTATCTAGTGACTACTGTATCTAGTGACTACATTATCTAGTAACTACAGTATCTAGTAAATGTAATATCTAGTGAATGTAGTATCTTGTGACTACAGTATCAACTGACTAGGGTATCTAATGACTACAGTATCTAGTGACTTCTGTGTCTAGTGAAGGTGATATCTAGTGACTAGGGTATCTAGTGACTAGGGTATCTAATGACTACAGTATCTAATGACTTCTGTGTCTAGTGAAGGTGATATCTAGAGACTAGGGTATCTAGTGACTACTGTATCTAGTGACTACGGTATCTAGTGACTAGGGTATCTAGTGACTAGGGTATCTAGTGACTACAGTATTTAGTGACTAGGGTATCTAGTGACAACAGTATATAGTGACTAGGGTATCTAGTGACAACAGTATATAGTGACTACAGTATCTAGTGACTAGGGTATCTAGTGACAACAGTATATAGTGACTACTGTATCTAGTGACTAGGGTATATAGTGACTACAGTATTTAGTGACTAGGGTATCTAGTGTAAAGGGTATCTAGTGACTACAGTATCCAGTGACTACAGTATATAGGGACTACAGTATCTAGTGACTAGGGTTTCTAGTGACTACAGTATCTTGTGACTACAGTATCTAGTGACTACAGTTTTTATTGATTACAGTATCAAGTGATTATGGTATCTAGTGATTACAGTATCTAGTGACTAGGGTATCTCGTGACTACAGGATCTAGTGAATGTAATATCTAGTGAATGTAGTATCTAGTGAATGTTATATGTAGTGAATGTGATATCTAGTGAATGTAAAATCTAGTGACTACAGTATCTAGTGGTTACAGTATCTAGTAAATGTAATATCTATTGAATGTGATATCTAGTGAATGTAGTATCTAGTGAATTTATCATCTAGTGAATGAAATATCTAGTGACTACAGTATCTAGTGACTGAATGTAATATCTAGTGAATGTAATATTTAGTGAATGTAGTATCTACCGAATGTAATATCTAGTATCTAGTGAACTTAATATCTAGTGACAACAGTATCTAGTGAATGTGATATCTAGTGAATGTGATATCTAGTGACTACAATATCTAGTAACTACAGTATCTAATGAATGTAATATCTAGTGAATGTTATATCTAGTGAATGTTATATCTAGTGAATGTCGTATGTAGTGAATTTATCATCTAGTGAATGTAATATCTAGTGACTACAGTATCTAGTGACTGCATGTAATATCTAGTGAATGTAGTTATCTAACGAATGTAATATTTAGAGAATATAATATCTAGTGAATGTAATATCTAGTGAATGTAATATCTAGTGAATGTAGTATCTACCGAATGTAATATCTAGTATCTAGTGAATGTAATATCTAGTGACAACAGTATCTAGTGAATGTGATATCTAGTGACTACAGTATCTAGTGACTACAGTATCTAGTAACTACAGTATCTAATGAATGTAATATCTAGTGAATGTAGTATCTAACGAAAGTAATATCAAGTGAATGTGATATCTAGTGAATGTGATATCTAGTGAATGTAGTATCAGTGAATGTAATATCTAGGGAATGTAATATCTAGTGACTACAGTATCTAGTGACTACAGTATCTAGTGACTAGGGTATCTAGTGACTAGGGTATATAGTGACTACAGTATCTAGTGACTAGGATAGCAAGTGACTACAGTATCTAGTTACCTCATTATCTAGTGACTACTGTATCTAGTGACTAGGGTATCTAGTGACTACAGTATCTAGTGACTACAGTATCTAGTGACTAGGGTATCTAGTGACTACATTAGTAGTATCTAGTGAATGTTATATCTAGTGAATGTGATATCTAGTGAATGTAGTATCTAGTGAATTTATCATCTTGTGAATGTAATATCTAGTGACTACAGTATCTAGTGACTGAATGTAATATATAGTGAATGTAATATATAATGAATGTAATATATAGTGAATGTAATATTTAGTGAATGTGATATCTAGTGAATGTGATATCTAGTGAATGTAATATCTATTGAATGTAGTATCTAGTGAATGTTATATCTAGTGAATGTAATATCTAGTGAATGTAATATTTAGTGAGTGTTATATCTAGTGAATGTGATATCTAGTGAATGTAATATATAGTGACTACAGTAACTAGTGAATGTAGTATCTTGTGAAGGAAATATATAGTGATTGTAACATTTAGTGAATGTAGTATCTAGTAAATGTAATATCTAGTGAAGGAAATATATAGTGAATGTAATATTTAGTGAATGTAGTATCTAGTGAATGTAATATCTAACAAATGTAATATCTAGTGAATGTGATATCTAGTGACTACAGTATCTAGTGAATGTAATATCTAGTGAATGTGATATCTAGAGAATGTAATATCTAGTGAATGTGATATCTAGAGAATGTACTATCTAGTGAATGTGATATTTAGATAATGTATTTTTTAGTGAATTAAGTATCTGAAGAATGTAGTATACAATAAATGTAATATTTAGTGAATATGATATCTAGTGAATGTGATATATAGTGAATGTGATATCTATTGAATGTAATATCTAGTGAATGTAATATATAGTGGCTACAGTAACTAGTGAATGTAGTATGGAATACATATTTACAGGTATTGAGGAGCGTACCACATGCCAGTCCCACTCTGCTGCTGTTTAACCGCTACTACATACCCAACCCTAACATCACCCTGGAATTAGTGTATATGGTGTTACAGGAGATGGAGTTGGAAGACTGTACAGCTGTGCTGGAGGAAAGCTTTCCTGGTCAGTATTGTACATGTGTTTGTGTTCTTGTATTGTTTCCTGTTTGTATGTTTTGTCTTAGGAAAGATAAAGATAGTTCTGTTTGTGTTATAATTGTCCTTTTGTTTCTTGTTGATACTGAATGAACAGATTTTGTTTTTAATTTTCAAGGAAAGTGTTGGTGGTGGATAGGGAAGAGGAGAAGAGAGAGAGAGAGAGAGAGAGAGAGAGAGAGAGAGAGAGAGAGAGAGAGAGAGAGACAGACAGACAGACAGACAGACAGACCAGACAGACAGACAGACAGACAGACAGACANGGGGGGGGGGGGGGGGGGATCAGTCACCAAATTTGATCACATGACCATCAAGATTTATAAGATAGTTTTTAATTTTTTGGTGTTAATTATTTCAGAGATAGAACAAAGATACAAGTCAGGAGAGTGCAGACCATTTGATGGAAACCTTAATGGACAAAATGAACATCGCTGTCGATGTGAAAGTTGTAGACAACACGATTCAACAGAATGTAGAACCTTCTCTTCTGCTAATACGCTTCATCATTGTCACCTTCCAAATTCAAATGGAAAAACCGCAAGGACAACATGTCGGTCTCAAAGGGAACCTTTGGAGTTTTCAAGCTTACATTGTCCAGTTTCAAATACAAGCAGTGAGCACCCTAGGCATCAAAGCTTACACCCTAATTTGGAGAGCGTTGCTCGACCGCCATTCGCTTTTCCTCCTGTTCATCATTCTCAACAAAACAATCATCAAGCTGTCCATCAGAATGAATACTCCATGCTGCTCCATAATCAAGACACTTTAAACATCAGACAGCGTAATACTCCATCTCAAGGAGGACAAAACTGGATACGGCGAGGACCTCAGATGAGTACTTCTACACTACAGCTACCATTCTACCAAGGCAGTTCTCTTAAGACACCGGTTACTCAGGCCTACACACAACCTGGACCAGAAACTGGTGCCATTCCTAAACAGCTAAGGGAATATTCCAGTTACCCAGATGACAGCCCACTGTCTCCTCTTGAAAAACAGAATAGAGCAGATAGCAGACAGGGTTTACACAGAAGAAATTCGTCACCCCACAATTACCCGTCAGCTAAATGTCAAAATGAAGCACTGACTCTACAAAACAATCCCAAGGAGTACAACAGACATCCTAGTCATGTGAATGACTTAGGGAAAGATAATGTGAAACAGTTCTGGCCAGATAGTACCAATCAGTGTACCTGTCGTACAGATGTTAGGGTGCAATTGTCGGCAGTGGCACCTAGCAGATATCAAAATGGCGGAATCAGTTCACCAATCCCGTACACACAACATGAATTTTTGCCACCTTCACCTATAGATAGTGAAGATGATGAATCTGAACAGACAAAGTTACTTGAAGTGGTCGGAAGTTTCCCTTCACATTGTACATGTCCATCCCAGAACAGTGTCGCCAACAGTAGACAATCAAGCACCAAGTCTGATGCTGAGCGACGATACTCTAACCCACAAGAAAGTTGGTCCTCCTCAAACAACTGTAGTGAAGTCCTCCGTGTGAAGCGGTCTAGTAGTGATGAAGAATTAAAAAGGAATGATCTCAGTCCTCGAGGATCAGTAATCCCACACAATAACCCTAGTAAGTTTTCTTAAATTAGGGTTGTTTATCATTAATTTCGAATGACACCTGTGGCTTTGAGAAAATTGTCTTCAGTGATCAAACTTGGACATTTTCATACTAACACTTGGCAGGTGAGCTTATACTATGGTGCAGCGTCCCTTGTCCATCTGTCAATCCATCAATGTTTCCTTTAAAACGTTACTAGTCCTGAATGGCTTAGTGGATTTTAACTTAATTTGGTCTGGAGCATCCTTGGGCCAAGGGCACTCAATTTTATATAAACATTGGGTGTGGCCTCCCTTGGGGCAGAGAAGCAGGGCCCAATAAGGGAAATATAGGTAAAACTTTTTAAATCCTTCTTCTAGCATAGGGATAAAGGTATTTTATCCTAATTTAGTCTGGAGCATCCTTTGGCCAAGGGCACTCAATTTTGTATAAATGGTGGGTCACAGTGTCCCCCATTGGGGCAGAGGGGCAGGTCCAATAAGGAAATAGAGGTAAAACTTTTAAATTCCTTTTTTCTGGCATAGGGATAAAGGAATTTTTTCCTAATGTGTCTAGAGCATCCTTGGGCCAAGGGGACTCAATTTTGTATAAACAGTGGGTGTGGCCCCCCTGGGGACAGAGGGGTAGGTTAGAATAGGGGAAATAAATATAAAGTTAAAACCTTTAAAATCTTCCTTCTACCATAGGGAGTAAGGGATTTCATCCCAATTTGGTCTTAACATCCTTAGGCCAAGGGGGCTCATTTTTTTGTATATAAGGTGGGTGTGACCCTCCCTGGGGGCAGAGGGGTGGGGCCAAATAGGAGAATTAGAGGTAAACCTTTAAAATCCTTCTTCTACCATAGGGATTAAGGGATTTCATCCCAATTTGGTCTGGAGCATGTTTAGGCGAAGGGTGCTCTAATTTGTATAAACAATGGGTGTGGCTCCCAGGACAGAGCGCGGCCATAGCCCAATAGGGGAAATAGAGGTAAAACCTTTGAAATCCTTCTTCTACCATAGGGATTATGGGATTTTATCCCAATTGTGTCTCCATCAAGTTGTCTATTAGGGTGTATTCATTAAAACAAGATGGCCACTAGGCCGCCATCTTGGATTTTGACATTTGAAGTTTGTTATCGCTATATCTCCATTATATCTTAATGAAATTTTATATGTACATACAGTACCTACCATGGAGGGCTATATCTTTATCTCATATCAAGTTCTTTAAACATATCCAAGTGAGCGATACAGGCACTCTGGGCCCCTTGTTTTTCTGTAAGTGTCCTAAATAGACAAGTGATTACCTGTTATTGTCCTGTATAGAAAGGTTAATGTCTGTAAGCATCCTGTATGGACAGGTTATTGTCCGTTAGTGTCCTGTATCAACAGATTATTGTCTGTTTGTGTCCTTCATAGACAGGTTATTGTCTTTGTCCTGTATTGACAGGTTGTTTTCTGTAAGTGTCCTGTAAAGACAGGTAATTTTCTGTCAGTAACCTGTATAGACAGGTGTTTGCCTTCTAGTGTCCTGTATATGCATGTTCTTGTCTGTAAGTATCTTGTATATACAGGTTCTTGTATGTTAGTGTCCTGTATAGACAGGTTCTTATCTGTAAGTGTCATGTAAAAACAGGTTATTGTCTGTCAGTGTCCTGTATAGACAGGATGCCTTTTTGTAAACAGGTTACTGTGACCTTTATAGACAGGTAGTTGTGACATTTATAGATAGGTTGCTTTGCCGTTTTTAAACAGGTTACTGTGACATTTATAGACAAGTAGTTATGACATTTATAGATAGGTTGCTTTGCCGATTTTAAACAGGTAACTGTGACCTTTATAGACAGGTAGTTGTGACATTTGTAGATAGTTTGCTATGCCCTTTGTAAACAGGTTACTGTGACCTTTATAGACAAGTAGTTGTGACATTTATAGATAGGTTGCTTTGCCATTTTTAAACAGGTAACTGTGACCTTTATAGACAGGTAGTTGTGACTAAATCAAGTTGACACTGTCAATACTTTTAACAGTGAAATTTATTGTGTTATAGGACAAATCAAGCTGTTCCTGACGTTCGCTGATGACAGCGAAAGGCATTTGGAGGAAGTCCTTACACTGGGTTCACAGCTGAAGGATATAGGGTTCATTGTTAAATGTGACATGTTCAACCAAACCATTCAAAAGTTGATTAGCCAGCCTAATACCAACGAGAATCGTAGCAGTATGCAACAATTCTTCAGCAACACCAATGACTGGTTAGACTACCAGGTCCAAAATGCAGACTATCTAGTTTTCTGCATTTCACCCAGATACTATCAGTATGTAAGACCACAAGAGCAGATATATGGCAGTGGAAATATACCTGCAAATAGTGTGCGGAGCGCCCACGTTGCCGCAGGAGGTGCCCAACCTAACAACTGCCATTTGCACACCAAGTACATTTACAACCAGGCCTGCAGTGAACATTTCAATGCACTCACACAAAACAAAAGGTTTTACCCAGTCTTATTCCCCAACTCTGGTGCTACCCAATATCACATTCCAAACATTTTCAAGTCAACACTTATCTTTAACTACCCAGATCCAAACTCATCTCTCTTGACATTTCTTGCAAATCGGTTGAATCAGTAGGTGTAAGTGACAAGGTTTTCTTGCTGGTGTGCTTAGATCTATGTACATTATAGGTAATACACAAGTTCTGTTATTCTGCCTCTGTTTGTACTGTCATGCTTTGGTTAACACCCATGGTGTAGTTTTCTAAGGCAGACTGTGTTGATAAAACTAGTATTCATTGTGTTTCATTGCTGAGCTAAAGCTAGAAATTTCACATCTTTTAAGAGACTAAACGACAGATGAGATCTAGCCAGTTTTTTTACATACCTGATAAATCTTACTAGTGATTCAGCCTGTTTTATTACATACCTGGTAAATATTGCTGTAGTGATACATGGAGTTTTCTTACATACCTGGTGAGTCTTATTTATTTGACAGTGATTCAGCCTGTTTTATTACATACCTGGTAAATATTGCTGTAGTGATACATGGAGTTTTCTTACATACCTGGTGAGTCTTATTTATTTAACAGTGATACAGCCAGTTTTAATACATAACATGGTAAATATTGCTGTAGTGATATTACTGTGTAGGACCAACACCAGATATAGCTAGTACCGAAGCGGACATGGACGCTGGGCGCAGTCAAGTCACAGGATGTTTTCCGATTGTTCTGGTAGTGTAGAGACAAATAAAGAAACATATATATATATAGATAGTCACGCATAGATGTACTTCATATCTGAAACATCGATCACCTCAGTAGCCAGAATTCTGTTGGGTCTGGAGCTCATCTGATGGCATTCACTGCTCTAACTGAACAAATGAAACAAGAATAGATTCTGGACAGTTTAGTGCTAACCTTTTACATGTTTAATGTGATGTCCTTATTCTGTTCTGGATGTGAATGGTTTTGTTCACCATTTTAATTGTTCTGTTAAAAGTTTTAATGAAACATATAAATACAGAAGATGTTTTAAAAGCAATCCACACCGCTCTTTATCTGAGCTTGACTATGTCTATCTGACATAAAGTGAAGATATCACAATTCTTTATCTGAGCTTGACTATGTCTATCTGACATAAAGTGAAGATATCACAATTCTTTATCTGAGCTTGAAGATATCACATGTATTTATGTGACTTTGAGAGATGTAAACTTCAAGATATATCGTATACATCGTAATTAGTATTTTTATTTGACATTGAATATGTTAAATGTCCTTGAAGATGTATTGGATATCTTTATCTGACCTTAGAATATAACGTGTTTCACTGCTGGACTGTGATGCCTATGTATCTGTATACATGTACATTTTGATTCATCAAATTTTATTTACAAACATAGGTACATGTGTTATACTTTTATTGTAGAATTACACTGTGTATAAAAGAATGCGTTTTAACTGATTTAAGTGAACTAATGTATATATTTTATAATTGCCAATCTTTCATTTTTTCACAAGGAAGAAACCCTCAAAATCTCAGTTCTTAACATGGAATTGAATTTGAGCCAAAAGCAAGGTATTCAGAATTCTGCTTTTAAATGCCAAACTCAAAAACGGTCGAATGTGAAATAGTGAGATTGGGCTCCCTCGAAGAAGATAACTGAGTATGATATATACAACATATACCTACATGTACTTAATATAAGGTGTAGCATAGTAGGATAGCTCAATGTCTTGAATTTTGCCTGAAAGTGTAATGTCACCAAGGAATTATGTCATTATTCCATTTTGCCTTAATAAAATGTAAGATTTTTAAAAGATGTATATTATGTACAGTGATCAGTTAATAGCCCACACAATGTCGCTCACACCACGAGAGTAATAATAGCCATTAGGTGTTTTTACACAAAAGGCATATGAATTTTTATATATATATATTTTACATCTCGTAGTAATTTTCAGATCAAAATATATAGCAAACTGCAGACATGCATTTGTACTGTGATACTGAAGTATCAGAAAATCCATCGAGTGTTAACATATAAGTATTATTTAAGGTTGTGTGTGTCTTTAAGGATGTATTCAAATATCACCAACGTATCTTCAAACATTAATTACCATGTCGTAGTTTCTTTAATTTTGCTAAATATCAATTAAGAATTTGCTTTTGATGTTTGCAATAATTTAACGAGGTTCGAAAGTGTTCTTTATGTACATGTTTATAAACCAGTAATCACCCACACAACAGTAAACCATTTATATTATGTCATGTGTTTTGGAGTTTACATCTATATTGATTCAAAATTAAATTAATCACCAACATCATTTTTTTAAATGTTCTAGTTTCATGAAATTTGTTATTTTTTATTTATAATCATCAGAATATGATTATACAGAAATAGTTATTAAAGTATTCTGCCTGTACATCTACATTCTTTGTCATTTGCTCATTAGTGACTTCATAATTTCTCAAAAGATTTAGAGACTGTTTCTTTTCAAAACCTCTAGGACATTCCGAAAATTCTGAAAACAGTACTGACAATCAAAAAGCCCTCCCTGTTTGTTGGTGAAGTATAATCAATATGATTAAAACCAGATTATAATTTCCTTCAATAGTCTGTATTTGATAAGGTCGACTGGTAAATTTGGATCTGGTTTTCATCCATTGTTATGTGGTGTATTATATACTGTTAACATACACAAATATATCATCATTAAAGTAATTGTACCAACATATTGATTCTAATTTTAAATTAAACATGTACATTCCGGGAAATGTATGCTAATTTATGACTGTGCCAGTATAGAATATTAACAATGGCAAACCACACCGTTTCATATTGCACATACAAGGCCCCAGTTTCATGAATGCTACTTGACTTCAATTTTTGCACAGGAAAGCAATACAGAAGTTAAGGGAAATTCCCTCATGTTAAGGGAAAGGGTACCACTTTATTAGTTATAATTGCAAAGAGTTCTACTCAAAAGATTTATTTTAATTGGAGTAGTCTCCCTTATATATAGAAGATTTAGAAATCAAAAAGACTTTTCTTGGAGCAATTTTCCCTGTGAAGTTGTTGTGTAACTTTCAATGTTCACTGTGTTTTCATTGGCTTTGTGGGCCATGAATCGACACTTATTTTGATGTTGTACATTGATGATGTCTCCATGGCAGTATTAGTAATGTTTTTTTTTTCTTTTTTTTCTTTTTCTATTTCAAACATTCAAATATCAAACAACTTTATAATTCTTTAAAAACATTGCAACAAATCTCTTTGTAGGGAATACCTCTTTTGAAACTGACTTATATTGACAATGGTAATAATGTACTAGTTTTACTTGTTGATACTCTTTGCCTTAATACAAGAATTTTCCTTAACTCCAACAAATTTTTTTCCATGGAAAAATAAGTAAGTTATTTCCTAAACTTGACACTGGGGCTGATTGATATATTTTATTCCATCATGTCAGAATGATCGGGTTGGTGACATTGTGTAATGTAAATGGCGTTCAAGACAGATTTGAATAAATGGCAGATGTTCAGATCTAGTACAATAACAGTGTTCCGATGGCTGTTGGATGAACCAATAAAGAACTCAAGTCTAAATGAATGTGAACATATTATAAATATCCATATCTTATTGGATGTAACAAGTGACTAATGTCCATGACTAGTTAGATTTAAACAAGTGACTTATGTTCATGTCTAGTTGGATTTAAACAAGTGACTTACGTTCATGTCTAGTTGGATTTAAACAAGTGACTAATGTTCAAGTCTAGTTGGATTTAAACAAGCGACTAATGTTCAAGTCTAGTTGGATGTTAACAAGTGACTTATGTTCATGACTAGTAAGAATTGAACAAGTGAAGAGCATAATGTCTAGCTAGATGTGAACAAGTGTTCAGAATGCTCATGTCTAGTTAGATGTTAACAAGTGACAAATGTTTCTGACTGGTTAGATTTGAACAAGTGACTTATGTTCATGTCTAGTTAGATTTAAACAAGCGACTAATGTTCAAGTCTAGTTGGATGTGAACAAGTGACTAATGTCCATGACTAGTTAGATTTGAACAAGTGACTAATGTCAATGACTAGTTAGATTTAAACAAGTGACTTATGTTCATGTCTAGTTGGATTTAAACAAGTGACTTAGGTTCATGTCTAGTTGGATTTAAACAAGGGACTAATATTCAAGTCTAGTTGGATGTGAACAAGTGACAAATGTTTATGACTAGTTAGATTTGAACAAGTGACTAATGTTTATGACTGGTTAGATTTGAACAAGTGACTTATGTTCATGTCTAGTTGAATTTAAACAAGTGACTTAGGTTCATGTCTAGTTGGATTTAAACAAGCGACTAATGTTCAAGTTTAGTTGGATTTAAACAAGCGACTAATGTTCAAGTCTAGTTGGATGTTAACAAGTGACTTATGTTCATGACTAGTAAGAATTGAACAAGTGAAGAGCATAATGTCTAGCTATATTTGAACAAGTGACTTATGTTCATGTCTAGTTGAATTTAAACAAGTGACTTAGGTTCATGTCTAGTTAGATTTGAACAAGTGACTTATGTTCATGTCTAGTTAGATTTGAACAAGTGACTAATGTTCATGTCTAGTTGGATGTGAACAAGTGACTAATGTTCAAGTCTAGTTGGATGTGAACAAGTGACTAATGTTCAAGTCTAGTTGGATGTGAACAAATGACAAATGTTCATGTCTAGTTAGATTTGAACAAGTGACTAATGTTCATGTCTAATTAGATTTAAACAAGTGACTTAGGTTCATGTCTAGTTGGATGTGAACAAGTGACAAATGTTCATTACTAGTTGCATGTGAACAAGTGACTAATGTTTATGACTGGTTAGATGTGAACAAGTGACTAATGTTTATGACTGGTTAGATGTGAACAAGTGACAAATGTTCATTACTAGTTGGATGTGAACAAGTGACTAATGTTTATGACTGGTTAGATGTGAACAAGTGACTAATGTTTATGACTGGTTAGATTTGAACAAGTGACTAATGTTTATGACTGGTTGGATTTGAACAAGTGACTAATGTTTATGACTGGTTAGATTTGAACAAGTGACTAATGTTCATGTTTAGTTGGATGTGAACAAATGACAAATGTTCAGTTCAGAAACCAGCAAGAGGTGCGTGGTCATATCAAGTTTTATGTGAACAAGTGGCAATATTCATGTCTAGTTGAATTTTATAATGAGTGTTGAATCTTCATGTTAAGTTTAATGTAATTATGTTACAAAGGAGTATATTTTGTTTTGTTGATTGTGAAAAAGAGACGAGTGTTCACCTGAAGTTTGATGTGAACAGGTTACAAATATTGATGTCTTGTTAGTTGTACATGAGTGATGACTGTTTAGGTCTAGCTGGACGTGAAAAAATAGCAAAAGCTCCCATGTGCTGCTGTTGGTAGCAAATACATAAGTGATGATTGTTTAGAGGTAGTTGAGTGTGAACAAGTAACCAATGCTTGGGAGTTGTTGGACATGAACAAGTAACCAATGCTTGGGAGTTGTTGGACATGAACTAGTAGCCAATGGTTGGGAGTTGTTGGACGTGAACAAGCGACCAATGCTTGGGAGTTGTTGGATGTGAACAAGCGACCAATGCTTGGGAGTTGTTGGACATGAACTAGTAACCAATGCTTGGGAGTTGTTGGACGTGAACAAGTAACCAATGCTTGGGAGTTGTTGGACATGAACTAGTAACCAATGCTTGGGAGTTGCTGGACGTGAACAAGTAACCAATGCTTGGGAGTTGTTGGATGTGAACAAGTAACCAATGCTTGGGAGTTGTTGGACATGAACTAGTAACCAATGCTTGGGAGTTGTTGGACGTGAACAAGTAACCAATGCTTGGGAGTTGTTGGACATGAACTAGTAACCAATGCTTGGGAGTTGTTGGACGTGAACAAGTTACCAATGCTTGGGAGTTGTTGGACATGAACTAGTAACCAATGCTTGGGAGTTGTTGGATGTGAACAAGCTACAAATCTCCATGTCCTGTTGGTTGTTAACAAGAGTTCTGATCTATTAAACATGAACTTATTACAAATCTCCATGGGGCCGCAGTGGCCAACTGATGAAGGTGTCTGACTATGATCAGTGCTTTTTCTCTTTTGTTTGTGACCAAGTGACATATGTTCAGGTCTAGCTACCGATACCTTGTTGCCAAGTTGCTGGATGTGAACATGCAAGGAGAGATGATAGCTTGGTTTGATACGAATAAGCTAGGAATCAAGTGTTAGATTGTTTCATAACAGTATAGTTATCGATGAGAACAGCTTGAAACTGTGTATCCATGTATTCATATAAATTATGTAACAAAAATGAACAGAATTATTATTGCCATTACCAGTATGTTCATGACAATAAAATGTTTGAATGAAACATACTGTCTTTTGAATTTTTGGGAGGATACCAGAATGATGATATAAGTCCAACTGACCCAAAGACTCAAGTTAGTTATCGTCATCTTCGTCCATTTTACAATCTTACTTGTGTGTAAACTTTTCATATTTTAACATCTTCTCTGAAAACAGATTTCAACCAAGTTTGAATGAAACCTTATAAAGCTTAATTAGGAGACACGGTAGTCTAGTGGTAAGACGCCGAGCTCGGGACCGAAGGGATGCCGGTTCGAGTCACGGCACAGCAATGTGTTGTACCTTTGAGCAAGATACTTTACTCCGCTTGTTACAGTCTACTCAGCTGTAAATGAGTAGGTGGTTGGGCAGTGCTAGAATTGTTGAATGCTGTTAGTGCCGAAATGGCAGCTCCGGCTGCATGCTCCCTAAGGAGTTGAGAAAGATGCATAGGCCCCATAACCAGGGATAATAATTTGTGAACCGATTTTGAGACGACCTACCAACTAGGTTGTGATAAAGCAGTATATAAGAACCTCAAATTATTATTATCAGGAGAAGTGGATTGAAGATTCCTCCTTTTTGTTCCTATACTCTTCTTCATAGATACTAGGGATGGTAAAAGGGTATACGTAATTATCAACAAATTTTAAAAAACTTGATGTCTAAAAACACCTGAGCTTGGCTATTTCATTTGTATGTAGATTTAGAGGCTGGCACTTCCCAACCCAATAAGGAACCACAATAAGGGGTCAAAATTTACATAGTATTATAAAGGAGGCAGCATATTACAATGCTTTATGCATTGTCCAATTAGTGTGGTTTAGTCATTTTTAGTCACTTGCCCAAGGGTAAAATGAGCGTATGTGCTATAGTGCTTCATCCGTCATCTATCCTGCATCCATCAACATTTTTCAAAGCAATTTTTTCTAAATAACTCTAAGTGACCTAGCAGTAGGCTCATGGTACTAAGCTAGAACCATGTTCAGATGAATGACCTTTGTCCATTTCAATGTCACAGGGGTCATATGTGTTGAAATATTTTCTTCTGAATAACCATGAGGCCTAGGGTTATATTACTGGCCAGTAGTATGATATAGTAAAGGTATATCACGTTTGTTAAATGGATCACATTTGTCCACTCTCAACATATTTGTTAAGAAGCGCGCTAGGATAAGTGCTTTCAAGTTTGCAAAGATGAATAACCTTAACCATTTTTCAATATCACTTAGGTCAAACGCGTAAAATCTTAACATCATACTTTGAGTAACGAAAAGGCCTGGAGGATAATCGGCCAGTAGTATGCTTTGGTAAATGTCTATGAAGTTTATTCAAATGAATGATCTAGACACATTTTCAAGGTCATTAAGGTCAAATGTATTGAAATCATTGAAGATCCATTGAATAACCAAGAGGCGTAGGGACATAGGATTCGGCCCATAATATTCAACAAGAGGCCCCAGGGCCTTAGCGGTCACCCGGGTTATATTATAGGTACTAGTAGCTCAATTTCATTGTTATGATGAGTGTGGAAATCAACATGTAAACTAAGTGAAATACAATACTTGTCATGTCATCAAAGGATAAGAATTTTAAAATATTGGTAAATTTTCCTTTTGGGGCCCCGCCCTAGCCCCTTGGGATGGGGCAGGACTCCCAATTTTACAATGTTATACCCTCATCCACCAAAGATAATTCAGACCAAGTTTGAATAATTTTCTGCTGAAAAATGGATAAAATATACCCAAAAGTGTTATTTCCTACATAAGGATGATTCTGACCAAGATTGAAAAATTCCATCCACTGGTTTTTGAAAAGAAGTCGAAAACGTAAAAAGTTTACGCACGACGAACGACGACGGATAGGATTTTGTTTGTTTGTTTGTTTATGTTTAACGGCCCATCGACGGCTGTGGTCATTTAGGGCCATGGTGATTTATTTATTTATTTTACTTTTTTAACAAACATGTGAATAGCGAAGATAAAATAAGATAAAATGGTTCATTTTAAAAGTATTCGCATTGTATGTGTAGATAATAAAAAAATAAATAAAAGGGAGTTAAAATAATAAAAGAGATAACGAATAGATGATATGGAATATGCGATATATATATAACGTCAAAAAGGATAAGGTGGGTTAAAAGACATCAGAGTCTATAAAATAGACCGATGTCTTTCAAATAGTTAAATAATGCCTTCGAATCCACGGAACTGAAAAGTGTTTTCATATCCGGGACTCGGAAGTAGTTATCACGAATGTGTTTAAAATCGGAACATTCTATTAAAAAATGCTCCACTGTAAATGGAGTGTCACATGCGTGGCATGAAGGTATATCTTCTCGTTTTAAAAGGTACGAATGAGTAGGATATGTGTGCCCAGTGCGGAGCCGAGCGAGGACAACTTCCTCTCTACGATCTTTCCGACTGGGAATAGATGTTTTAAGTTTCGGTTGTATCTTAAAAAGTTTGTTGTTGGTCTCCAGAGACCAGCGTTTCTGCCATTCATTTTGAATGGCTGTACGAATAGTAGGTTTAAAATCTGTGTATGGTAGTTTGATATTTGTTTGTTCGAGATTCAATGCATTTTTTGCTTCCCTGTCAGCAAATTCGTTGCCTTTTATTCCGACATGGCTCGGAATCCATAGTAAAGTTATTTTAGACTTTTTTAATATACGAGATATTCGAAGAGCAAGGTTTTGTACGATTGTGTTTTTAGGATCTCGTAACTGTAAACTCTGTAGGACAGATAGAGAGTCTGAACAAATAATTGCCTTTTTAATGCGGTGTTCATCGATATGGTCGAGGGCCAAACCAATGGCGCATGCTTCAGCAGAAAAGATGGAGGCGCCGTCTGGTAGTCGGACTGAAGTGCAAGTATTGGCAGTACAGCAGGCTGCTGCCACTTTCTCACCTTCTTTGGAGCCATCGGTGTAAAGTTGTGTATGAGAAGGGTAATTCGAAATGCATTCCCGAAAGGAGGATTTGTGTTCTTCGGGCATAACACTTGATTTCCCTCGCTCATGTAATGTAAAGTTAAAATCGGGGGTTTGAATGGTCCACGGAGGAACATCAGATATGTTAAATTCAGCTATGTCCGTCAATTTTATGTTGAGTTCTTGCAGGAAATTCAAAATTCGGATACCAAATGTTGGCAGAAGTTTTTGGTTTTGCGTAAATATGTTTTGGTATTTGGGGTTGAATACTTGGTTGAAAGCAGGATTTTTAGGGTTTGATTTTAATTGAGTTGCAAATTGTAATGAAAGTTTTATTCTTCTGTCATAAAGGGATGGTTCATTTGCTTCCACGTACAGGCTTTTTACAGGTGTTGTTCGAAAAGCTCCCAGGGCAAGACGTAGCCCTTGGTTATGGATTGGATCTAGCATCTGAAGGTACGAACTGCGCGCTGACCCGTATACCATAGAACCATAATCCAGTTTTGTTCGAATAAGTGATCTGTATAGGCGCAAAAGCATTTCACGATCCGCTCCCCAATCAGTATGAGAAAGGACTCGTATAATGTTTAACGCCTTGGAACACTTATCCTTCAGATACTTTATATGTGGTATGAAAGAGAGTTTCGAATCAAAAATGAGGCCGAGAAATTTAGTCTGTTCAACAACAGGAATTCTAGTGCCATCGAGTGTTAGATTTGGGTCATTGTGTGCTTTTCGTTTTTGACAGAAATGCATGCACACAGTTTTGGATTTAGAGAATTTGAAGCCGTTTTCGTCTGCCCAATTTTGTAGTTTGTTTAAACTCTGTTGAAGTTGTCGTTCTATCGTGTGCATGTTCTTAGATCTGTAACAGATCAAGAAGTCATCCACAAATAGCGACCCTTCTGTTGATTGACCAAGACATTTGACTATATCATTTATTTTAAGTCCAAACAGTGTGACTGATAGGATTCCACCCTGTGGGACTCCCATTTCCTGTTTAGACGTTTCAGAAAAAGTTGAACCAACACGGACTTTGAAGTGTCTATCTGATAGGTAATTAGATATAAAATTGGGAAGGTTTCCACGTACGCCAAGGTCGTGAAGATCTTTCATGATGCCATACTGCCATGTAGTATCATAGGCCTTCTCAAGATCGAAGAACACAGCGACAAGGTGTTCTTTCTTGGCGAAAGCCTCTCGAATGAACGTCTCTAATCTGATGAGATGGTCATTTGTCCCTCTTCTATTTCTAAAGCCACTTTGAAGAGGGGATATTATATCGTTGGCCTCAAGAAACCAAACCAGTCTAGTGTTTATCATTCGTTCCAAAGTTTTACATACACAACTAGTCAGAGAGATAGGACGATAGTTGTTTGGGTCAGTAGCATCCTTTCCCGGTTTTGGGATAGGTATAATTGTGGAGTTCTTCCACGAATCGGGAATCTTTCCGGAAGCGTAAACTTGGTTGAATATGTAAAGAAGGCATGTTAGTGAAGAGTCCGGTAAGTGCTTTAGAAATTGATATGGAATATCATCAGGACCTGAAGCAGTGTCCTGTGATTTTCTAAGCGAATCAACAAGTTCTGGTAGGGTAAATTGTTCATTATAACTTTCTTTGTTTGATGATTTGAAATTGAGCCGTTTCTTTTCTCTCTTTTTTTTCAAAGACTGGAATTTTTGGGAGTGGTTTAGAGGGGATGAGTTTTTAGCTATGTTTTTTGCAAATGCATCAGCAATTTCAGTTATAGACGAGAAAATTTTGTTTTTATTAATGAGGTGGGAGGATGTTGCCTTTTTCTTTTTCCCACTTATTTTCCGAATCATATCCCATACTTTTTTTGAGGACGTGTTTGATGATATCTTGGATACATATTCTCTCCAGCTGTTTCTTTTGTCAATTTTAATTGATCGCCGAGCCTTTGCCCGCCAAATTTTAAATTCACTGTAGTTTGAAGCAGTTGGGCAATTGAAGTAGCGTCTTAGAGCAGCTGCCCGATTACTGCGTGTTTTAAAAGATTCTTCAGATAAAAGGAACTTCGTAGGTTTTGGAGCGGATTTTGGAATTGTCTTTTGGGCAATTGAAGTGAGTGTTTCAGTAAAAGTTTTGATAGGGTCGTCGAGGTTAGTAAAATTGTCTATGGTTAGTTTTTCAATGCACATGTGTTGGAATTGGGCCCAATCTGCTTTGTGCATATTCCATCGAGGTAGAGGATCATCAAGAGGAGTCACAATATTCTGAAGAAAAATTGGGAAGTGGTCACTCCCACAAAGATCATCATTTACCCTCCAGTCATAGTCAAGTAAAATGGATGGATGGCATAATGATAGATCAATGTGGGTACAAGAGCCTGTAGCAGGGTGTAAATAAGTAGGGGTATTGTTGTTAAAAAGGCACAAGTTGTTTTTATCTATAAATTCCTCAATACGTCTTCCTCTCGACGGATAGGAAGGGATCAGAATAGGTAACTTGAGCAAAGCTCAGGTGACCTAAAAATAGAAATGTATCCTTTGTTCAAATGCATGACCTTAACCAACTTTCAATGTCACAGGGATAAAATGTGTTGATAAAACTTTTTTGTCACCCTTTACTCATACAACACTGCATTTTCTTGGCTCAGAGATGACCATGTCAAATTAGGTCAATGTCCCTTTAGCTGTAATGAACTAGTGGTCTTTTAAAGGACAAGTTGACAACAGATGTTGCACTGTGGAATAAACTCATGTGGCCCTCCAGACCTGGTTAGGCCAAAAAATATGTATGTTTCAAGTAACCCGACCGAACCTAGTTTTTACCTTTTTAACAATTAACAATTTTATCTCACTCAAACGCACCAAATATTACCCTCAAATGGGCTTAATATGGTCTTGTATGTAATACATTCTGTAATTATAACATAAATTAAAGTAAATCTCATACGACCTACTCAATTTTTTCAGTCAAGATACCTGAAATATACATCAAATTTTGATTTGGCCTAATATCTAACAAAAAAACAGACATTTTTTCTTTGATATTTAATACATTTGTATGCTTCTTATTAAGAAAATATCATAACATTTAAACATTTTATATTACATAATATTTAAATGGAAATAAAATGTAAAGTTTGTTTGGTCATGGTTCAGTATGTCAACCTTAACTTCACAACATCAACACTGTCACAATACAACTGAGCTGGTTTGGAAGAGATACTCATTATGGCAAAACAACAAGAACAAGTGATCTCTCAAAACAGTTAAAAAGTCTCATCAGAAGTGGTACTGCTTTCAGAAAGGATTTTTTTTTATCTATATACATGCTAGTTCAGTTATGAAGTGTAACACTGTTGAACATCTACCACTTGATATTTGAGTTAAACTTAGGAGGTTTTGAATATCTGAGAGCAGGTCTCCAGCACTTTATCACTATTGACCACTGATATATAAACAATATTTACATATATAGGAAGCTTTAAAAGAAATTTTACAGGAAGTTTAATCAGTAACACATTTATTTATCTAATATAACTGCTATGATATCAAATTCTCTCTTAAGATTACTATAACAAGCTCATATTGCACTGCCTTCCTTGAAAATAGAGTCTGTATTAACAGTAGGTGTATACTTCATCACAACAAAACTTAAACATTACAATGTAAACATTAACTGTCGCAGAGTAAAACAAGACGTCCCAGTGCTAGCCAGCTTTGTCTATATAACCGTATGTTAACGTACATTTATAGGACATCAGCCTTAAACAATGGACTTCTATCTAAGAAATACATTCATGTTCTTGTAATCTTAACTATCATTAGACAAAAACTTCAGAAATATTTATTACATTTAGACTTGAATGCTGCATGTATCTGGTAGTTGCAAATGAAAAATTGTGTTGCAGCCAGTGAAATTCCACACTTAACTTGATACAGGTACATACAAGCTAATATATGTAGTCAGTAGTTTATAATCCATGTATAGATGCATTAGCCATATGGGTTTAGTTACAGTATTAATATGGACATAGATAAATTAGTACATTTTTTTGTACCAGTAAATAGAAATTCCAATATTTCTAAAATACAGGTTTCGAGATAAAATGTCACATGATTTGGCAGTCACTTGGTACATTAGGGGGGCATGTTATACTTTCAGTGTGAAGTCAAAAAAAAAGTGTGAAGGTAAAATTAACATCAAACAGTAACAAGCCAATTTCGTCGCGGTGCAAGATTGGTAGATTTGGATAGAAATGGCAGAAATTTCATATCTTTATGAAATGGATATCTATGGATTAGTATCTGCTCATCAGATACACAGCTGGTAACATGAGTTTCTGTATATTGCAGTAACAGTTGTCAGATAATCCATGTTTACTGAATTCGAAGTACACATGCCCCCCTACCACATGACATGCATATCTAAAACCCATTCAAATTTCAGAAAGAAAAAGTATCTTGAAAACAGCACATTTATATCAATGACTGTGTAAACATTTTACTATTAGGGAAAGCATACATGCAAAAAGAATATTACTTTCTCAAAACTAGTTATCCTTATCAATCGATTTCTATACTTCTGCTATAAGTAAGTATCACACATACAAACAAACGTTACTGTAAGTTTAGTGAACTTCTAATAAGACATGTTTTTTTATCACAAGTATTATGCACATGTACATGTATTTTGTTTGTTTCATTTCATAAAAGTAACTTATCTCAAAAGGTGATTTAACAATTTAAAGGGAGACAACCTTTGAAGTACACATTTTCACTTGAATGTGACATGTCTTTATTTTGTGTTGGCCCTATAGGAATGGGATTTTGAATTAGTGTCAGGAAAATATTTTGCTGCAACCTCAATGTAGAATGACACAAAATGCAGTCCTGGAAATATGATGTATGGTTTAGCAATTTTCATTCCTGTAAAAAGGGGCGTGAAATTAAACCCCACATTTATTTCACTTCTGGTAAAATTTAAGAAATTCATCCAAAGAATCCAACTTGTTAAATTATTTCAAGCAACTTAACTTTGGTAGTCATGAAAAGCAAACAAAATATCAATGATAAAAGTGATGTACATGTCACCTGTTTTGTTTTACACAAATATTTATGATTTTCACAAAACTGTGTTATATGCCTTCTTATGTCAAATATTTCTCATTCAAACCATTTTTTTGTATAATTATTTTTGTGACAGAATAATGTAGAACTGTTTCTAAACTCAAAACTATGTCATTTATAAGTTGACAGATTTTTCTTTTGCAGATCAGCATGATTTTTTCAGCTATGTGACATGCACTTCTTACTACACTAACGCAAACAGGTTTAACAGTTTAAATGCTTTATAGAAAGGATGATAATAATTAGTTAATTCATGACGGCTGCCTGTAACGGCTGCTCCTTGCTGTTCAGCAGGCCCTCCTCTTCTGAACACAGAATTGTCTCCCCTGTCTGCAGGAAAGACGACTCTGTGATCACAAATGGATCTGAGCCATGCTTTTGTTCATTGTCTAGTACAATATAAGACACATTCTGATCACAATCAAAATCTTGGACATACTGAACCATGACGTTAGGCTCTCCCCACGACCCTGAACAGACGTTTACTTCCTCTGTGGTAACTGAATCAAGATTTGTTACCATGGTCACATCTGATTCAATCGCTTCCCCTGTGACCATGACAACAGGTTTATTCACTTCCTCAGTCACCATAGCAACAGGTTCAGACACATCCCTTGTATCAATAGTTGATAAGTGAATGTCTGTTATCATAGCATTAGAATTGAGTCCATCAACACTAGAGACAGGGTGAATATCATACAGTGTGGGGGTCCCACAGGAAGAGACATTAATAACTGGTGTTAAATAACTCATAGAGGAACTTGTAATACTAGAATTATGCTGGGAATTCTGACCAACTACAATTGAACCAGACGTAGCATCTGAAAGATGCAAGGACCTTTCTTCCACCTCCTGATTACAGTGGTCAGGGAGAATTGGAGTGTTGCATAGATTTTCTCGCAGCTGTGACACACCAGCAGCCTCCTGATCATGCCATGTCCCTATGCTGCTAGTACTTTGACCACTGGAATTAATTTGTAATGACGACTTGTTTGCAATAACTATACAAGAATTGTCCTGCTTTTTTAAATCTTCTACACCACACATGACAACTTTGACTCCAGGTTTTTGAGAAGTTATTGTATTTGACACCACTGATGGTACAACAATTTTATCTACCACCACACTGCAGGAACACTTTGATAATGATGACGACATGTCCCCGGCACACGTTGCTACACATCTGCTACATGTCTTTTGTGACAAACAAGAGTCTTGATAGGACCTATCTAAATCGGAGCTGTGTTGTTCTGATTGATGAAGCAAACCACTGGAATTTCCCATGAGCTTGGTGGTGATTTCTTGTTTTGAAGGCAAGTCAATCACATTGATATCTGAAGTATAATCATTGGAGGTGGATTGGTTGTTCATGACGATGATCTGTACACTAGAATCCTCTGCTTCACCAATATATGAGGTAGACTGTACAAATGGCATATTTACAAACACAGGTGAAATTTCTGACTGGGGGTTCTCTGTTGCTACGTCAGACTCTACAGTTTCTGCTGCTGAAGTCTGTTTACCAGCAGAGTTTACAGTTTGAGGGTCTTGATTCTCATCTGAGTAAATTCCAAGAGATTTTGCGACAATTTCCAGCAGATTTGTCCTGTTCTTTATGTCTGGAATATCTCTAGATAAACCTAAAGGTAACGATGTAGTTCTACCGACAAATTGTGGAGCTGGTGAGTCTGGTGCCTGCACCGTCAGTTTACTGCCAGGAGGAGGAAAAACAACCACTTCTTGACTGTTAGGCTGTGGTACATGTAAGTTCTGTGGCAGCCTTTCCTTCAGAGATACATCCTTTTGTAGGGAAATGTCAGGTTGATTGTTATAGTGTGTGTTTTTAGGGGGTGGAGGGTATGTAACAGCTTCCTCATTGTCACAGTGTGTGTTGTTTTGGGATGGAGAATATATCACAGCTTCCTCAATGTTACAGTGTGTGTTGTTTTGGGATGGAGAGTATATCACAGCTTCCTCAATGTTACAGTATGTGTTGTTTTGGGATGGAGAGTATAGCACAGCTTCCTCAATGTTACAGTGTGTGTTATTTTGGGATGGAGAGTATATCACAGCTTCCTCAATGTTACAGTGTGCGTTGTTTTGGGATGGAGAGTATATCACAGCTTCCTTAATGCTACACTCCGTGTTGTTTGGGGTGGTGTTTGACAGTGAAACGCCTGTACTATCATTGCTGTCAGATTCTTTTCCAAGACTAGAAAAGAGGCTTTCAAATAAATTACGTCCTTCACCCTTTTGAGGAGAAGATTCCTTTGATGAACCCAATTTTGTTGAGGACTCCAATGAACGGCTTTCATTTAGAGGCGGTTGACTTTGACTAATAGTAGGATGCAAAGATTCGACTATATCCTTCGGAGAGGAACGGTCTGGAGTAACATCCTGTGGTGAAGATTCCTTTACTCCACCTTCCTTAGAGCTTGATTGCATTGGATAAGTTTCCACTTGAATTTCTTGCACATACACTGGACTTGTGTCAGAACAAATTTCTGTTTGTTTAGTAACTGTGTTGATGTCCAGATCAATCGCATGGTCATTGACCTCCAAATTTCTGTTGTTGTCAGCCCTTTCTGTTTCCAGATTTTTCGTTTCTGACGGTTTCAATTTTCTAGTGGCACACATAGTTTCAAACGTTTCACTTCCTACCATATCAGAACATAACAGGTCCTGATCAGTGGCTGGTGTGTCCGTCCGAGAAGCCAAATAATTGTTCGAAGAATGTAGCATTTTTTCTGTGAAAGAGTCTGCATCAGTTTGCACAGCCACTGTGACTTTTTGGATTTTTCTACACAAACTGTTAGACACGGTGTTAACTGTAGCACTACTAGTAGTCTTACCAATATCTATTGCTGCTGCCATGATGGCATCCATGAAGTGTCGCTCCCCCAACTTTTGTGAATCCTTGGTTTTTTCACTAGAACTGGTCTCCTTGTCAGTTACACTATGGGGAGGAAGTGGTTGGATTTTGGACCATATTGAGGTGTCGGCTGCAATACCTTCCGAATGTGGAGGGCTACACAGGTCAGCAAGAAGATCTGTGAAATGTCGAGTTGTGGAGGACTTACAAGGGGAAGATAATGCAGTAGCGTGACTTTGGACATTTTCACTTCGAAGTTCAGTCAAATGTTCTTTGGGATTTACTTCTGACTCTACTTGATCGACAGAAAGTTTGTGTGTGACAGGTTGTGCGGACTGATGTATTTCCACTTCTGTATCAATAATCATATGAACGTCAGCATCACATGGTGCTGCGTGGTTGGACATCTGCTGTTCCAGATTTTCCGCTGCAGAGACTTCAACAGAGGCAGGTAATGTAAGAGGTGTCTCACTGATTGAATTCCCCACAGGGTTATCTCCAACCAACAAGAGATTCTGAGTAGAAGGATCCTCCTCTTGTAGAAAACGTCCCATCTGAGATTCCTGTGGCTGTTCTGTGACTGTATCCAGTCTATCAGTCGATGTACATGTACACTCAATTTGTGAAGTATTTTGCATGTCAACCATCAAGCTGTCTGGAGATGTATCAGCTGTCTTCTGAAGTTCATACATTTTGGAGCTTGAGCATGACAGATGACATGTCTGAATGTCACGCATCTCAATATCAGACAACTGTTCTTGATTATGAATTGGAATAATCTCTTGATTGTTTCGAGATTCTCTAGACAGATTTCTCGAAAATAAGTCTGTTTGTTTCACCGATTTTAAATTTGGATTTTGTTTTTGTTTTTCGGGAGAAATGAAATATTTTGTGAATATTTCAGTCATTTGTTCCTGAACAGACTCTTGACTGTTACATTCAAACGATGTTTCATTGGAGTGTTTTTCTTTTTCATCCGACTCATTTTGTTCGTTGTGCGACATAAAATTTTGTGATGTCTGGGACTGTGCAGCAGTTCTGATGCTTGATGTTTTCTTCTCTTTGTTTGTTTCCAAAACTGGTAGCACATCCTTTCCTGCTGTCGGTGGCAATGGAAACATCATTGGTGTCATGGAGGTTTTCCTACAAATGGTAGAATTTGAATGTGATAAAACCTCTGAACTAGAATCTTGAAACTGTAGCTCTGAAATGACCTCAAGTATAGGAGGTTCAAGGTCGGAACAAGAAGATGGACTATGTACAGGGAAAATGTCAAGATCAGGGATCTTTTCTAATATTGGTGGAGGTGTACATGGTCCAACCACATCAATCATTTCCTGACTAGACAACTGACGATCCATCTCCGAATCTGGTGAGAAACCTTCACACACATCCATCATTCTTGTGTCACAACTGTCTTTGTTGAGATGTTCGGTAGAAATCATTCCTAGATCAAAGAAGAATTTTTCCTTGAAGGGTAATGACTTGTATGTCATGTGTACACCCAGAGATGTATTTTTGTACTCCTTGATTGGTGGTGAGTAGATAAATACTGGGGCAGACTTCCGTCTCTTCTTACCTCCCTTTTTTGCTTTAGGCAATATAAAGAGAGTGGTATCTGAGATTCGTCTTACCGGCAGAAGCTGCGGTCGTAACACATTCTTGCTCTTTTTGCTTGTGAGATTTTGTTTAGGTTTCTGCTTAAGTGACGACAGATGTTCCACAGGTGCACGTTTGGGACGAAGCACCTTCTGACACAGATTGCGTGTGTGTTTAATTTTGCATGGCACTTTGTTGTGTTTCTGAAGAAGCTTAACAGATTTGAATATGCGATCACAGATTCGACATTTTGGTTCTCTTGCTGTTTTTGGTTTCCGCGTCACACTTTTTGAAAGACATACATTACTATTCAATTCTGTTGCCTTATTTTCTAAATTTTGACTTCCTTCATTACATAATGTTCTACCCGATTCAACCAAGCCATCAACTTTGATCCCAATATTCTGTCTTTTTATCACACTCACATTCTCTTTGACTGTTACACTGTCCACATTCTGATCACATTTCTGTTCATGAGTTTCTCCAATATCTCTTGATGTCTGTATTGTGTTTGAATTACTAACACTCCCCTTTTGAGGTGCCGTCTTTTTTATTTTTTTTCTCTTTGACCTAGCTACACAGTCCAAACTTCCTCTCCCACCAATATATTTCCGCTTCTTTTTCACAATTTTTTTTGGAACAATTATTTTCTCTTCCATAGATATGCTTCTAGTTCTCATCTTTTTTGCAGTCTCGTGAACTTTGAACTTTGATGGTTTAGGCAGTTGATGTGTTGTTGAAGGTGATTGGTTTGATTTAGATGATGTAGATCTCAATCTACAAGTACATTGGCGAGTGGGTTCGTTTGTTTGGCTATCATTATCCTCTATAAGGTTCCTAAATCCAAAATCATCAACAGTAGGGTCATAACAGCACCCATTTTCACAACAGTTTGAAGGTCTTGGTTTGGCAACACTGTTATCACGAGAATCCTCCTTGTCCGAAGAGTTTGGGACACAATCAGACATAACTGAGTCATTAGCAGAACATCCTTCTCCAACAGTAGGTGATATTTTATCTGACTTTGAACTGTCAAAAATATTGTCATCATTAGGAAAAGTTAGTGGCTCTTTATCCATAGACACTCCCTGACAATGACTGGTGACCTCCCCTGATTGTTCAGCAGCTGGTTCTGAATATGGTGGTGGTGAGCTTGTCGATGGTGTTCGGCTGGATGGAGGGACAAAGCTATGATGTTTTCCAATCTCCGGTTCCTCCCTCGCTATGACCTACTCAATATGAGAAAGATAAACACTTACAATAATTATTCAATCACCAAATCAAAAAAATAAATTAGTTATATATCACACATTCCTAGCAATTATAAGAAAAGCAGATACTACAGCCGAGACTCATAAGTCTGGACTCAATGTTTTATCGTGATCATTAGAATCCAGATTACCACTTCTCACCCAAATCTTTCTAAGGTGTTTATCAGCATTCCTTATTTATGGTATTTGGCTAAATGATAATGTAAGAACAATAATAAATATTTTAAGAACAAGAAACACAAATTTGTTGAATTTCTACTGGTAATGTTGCCTCTGTGAGCACCAGAATAAATGAGTTTCTTTATGTCTGATGTGGAACTAAATGAAAAATTTAATGTCAGATTTTGGGTCCCTTTGGCCAAAAAAAAAGATTTTTCTCATCAGATTTGGTTAAAAGGCCTTCGTCAGTATAGAAGGAAAAGGAGTTTATCAAATATATAAACATAATATGTACTTGTATTTTTCTCAATCGAGCCACACTCTGGCTCCAACGAGATGCACCCTTCATTTATATACAACACTGGGTTCTCCTGGAATCCAGTTAAAAATTGGTTAAAATTCATGGGGATAAAGAGTAATTTTAAACATACCTGTATTTCCCCCAATCTGGCCCAACCCCTCTGCCCCAAAAGGAGTGTGGGCACAAACTCTGTTTATACAAAACTGAGTCCCTTTTCAAATTTACAGTTTACATCCCATCATTAATACGGAAAAAGAAGCGAGGATTTTAAAGATTTACCTCATTTCCCCAATTCGGAGACTTAATTTAGTCAAACTCCACTCAGCTCTTCTGGACTATTAACATTTTAAAAGATACGGTTTCTAGCGGAGCACAATTGATTTCCTAATTTTCCTTTTTGTATTTAAAATGAAAACTTCCAAAAAATAATAAATTCTTTTGAAAATACAGAGAAAACAAATTTTAGAGTAGTTGTTTTAAACATTGATCAAAATATGTCATCAGCATTTCACACATTTTAATAAAAACATTCTGCTCATAAACCCTGGACATTGAAGTTTGCACATTTTGATTTTCTTGAGTTTATGTACATAAAATAATAGTTTGAATATATTAAGCCATGTACAGTACATGACAACTTGGCATGAATTTATGAATCATTCAAGTCCTATGAATCAACTGCGGATGCTTGTTAAAATCTTGAGAGAAAAAATATACCAGGTAAGTGCCAAATAGAAGAAGTACTTGCAAAGTTATACTGCACGCAAATAAGAAAATATTTATTCTACAAAAAAATGATTCTGTGATTTATGATAATACTGCTATATATACAGATATTACTTAGCAACAAATTTCAGAAGTGTAAATCTTTTATAAGTTGATTTGAATGAGAAATTCTTTTTCTTTTCTAGATGTTTCTCATGTATGTATGCAATCCAACATGAATAGGATTTTCTGATAATGATTGTAGTCAGATGAATTCTGATAAAACTGTTTTAACTTATATAGAATTTCAGCAAAGATTTACGTGTTTCAGTCTAATAAGGTAAAAAAACTTTTACAAGCTCAGTATTGTATCAGCATTGACGTTTTAGTACTTAAATCATGATCACATATGTCTGTGTGATTTTTCTAACAGCTTCTGTTTCAGAAGAGAGTCTAAGTATCACAATACTACAAAATCAAAACCTATAATATAACTGTGCTACATGTACATAGATTTATTGTACTGTTAACATCACTATTTTTAATCACTGTACTAACTACTTCTAATCACTTAAATGAATATGCATGATTGTATACAACTTTGTTTTGCATGTATTGAAGTCTAAAATAAACTATTTCCTCAGATTGGTATCATATATGCATGTAGAGAAATATGGGGAAAGGAATCTTGGTTGTGTATCATGATTCAAATGATTCAAATGAGTGGGACAGATTCTGTGATATAGGAATTGGAGATTAACAGTCAACAAAAATTAATGGAAAACTTGAAAAACAAACTGTTTAAAAGAAGTTAAATGACACAAAATGGCTACCTACCAAGTTCGAATGTTGGTACTGTAACAGTCTGAAAGGAAAACCAGATCGTTAAAGGTTCAATGAGCTACCTGCACATAAAACTGAACAAAACAACAAAAATATTCAACTATATTCCCCTAGATGTGTTTTGTGAAATTGATGATGACCTATGATGACCTACTGTGACCTATTATAACCCCTAGCTCAGAGTTGGATCCTTACCTCAGATATTAGTTGGAGGTCATCTGGTTCTATGTTTGATTGCAGAACTACTTGCTGTTGTGCCACTTCAGGACACATAGCAACCTGTGGAACAATGTTCTCCAGGGTGGCAACTGTCTCCACAGTGACTGCTTCAAACTGTCAAAAAAATCAAAGTTTTTTTGCTAAATCCAACTTTCAAGAAATTAACTGACAAATTATATCATGACAGATTTCCTAATAATTAAATACAAAATATCCCTGTATGAGCTAAAAAGATTGATCTTTTGTTATATTTCCAAAATTTCTTAATCTTTTATGTTGATAGATATATTGTGGATATTTTTTTTTATTATTACTATTATTTAAGTAATGATCAATACATATAGTTTATTATGTAGATTATCACAAGTACATATATATACACGAGTCCTCTGCAGTGTTCTTCCCAATATACATGTAGTATAGACTATAGCTATAACATAATGCTACAACAGAAACGAATACTGACACTTCTTTCTCTTAGCTTGTAGCACAAGTATGTCTTAAATGATTTGTATGTTTCTTAGTATAAATATAATATTTAGGTAAAAATACTCTGAGGAAGATTGGCTAGCTAGAAGCCAAAAAATACATTTGAAAACAAGATCATTGAATAAGAAATATCCAATGAAACTTAATGATAAGAGTCACATAAAGTGAGCTATAGTGTATATATGTCTTGATCACCCCATGTGAAATGTATGTCACACTGTACCTGGCCATCTTCGTAGTGATCTGGGTTTGTGGTGATGACATACTGTGTGTCCACATTACCAAGATCGTCTGCGGCCAAAAGCTGGTATGTGGCCGCCGCCGACTGCTGCTCCTGCTGCTGTTGTTGCTGTAACACCTGGGCAGCCTTCAGTAGAGACTCAATCTGATTGGCCACCACCTCATCAGCTACATCAGACCGCATGGCCAGTGACTGCTCCATTTGCTGCAGGTTTGCCTCCAGACTGTTCAAGGCACTGGCCTTCTCAGCTTCTTCCTCATGTTGTTCCGTTTGCTCTAAATCAGGTAAAGTTATTGACACCCCAGCAACAGGGATCACCTCCTCCTTAAATTTCCTACATGGGTGCTTTACATGCTCCCGCATTTCATCGAGTGATATAAACCCACGGTCACAAATCTGACATTTCAAATCGTTCATGACAAGTTTACGGATTTTACGTTTCGATACAGAAGGTTCTGGTTCTTCAAGTGGTGCTAGATTGGACACCACCACACTTCCCTCAGTAGTGCCTGCCACCACCTGCAATATTCTACCATCTGTACTAACTATTTCTTGACGTGGATTAGAGGAAACAATCTTTTTGCAAGTTTTGCTGTGCCTCCACCTTTGAATGGGGTCAATGAACTTTGCCATGCAGTGACGACACCAGAACAGACGTTTGGACGGGTTGCTGAGGTTGTGACATGGATGACTTGAAGACTGGCCACCTGTTGCCATAGTTTGGAAAGTTAAGCTTCACCTGAAAAAAAAAAGATGTGTTGAAAGCATGAACAATCCATACCAGTGCCACTGCACATATATATATACCAGTATTCTAAAAATCATTGTAATCATGCAATAAATAGATATATAGATCCAGTCAAACTTCAGTCTTCCCCATTTAGCTCTGCTAACTCTACATCAAAGTTACTTTTTTCAAAAGATGCTAGATTAACATACTTTTCTTTAGCAATTAAGATAGAGTTGGTTTTAGCAAACACAAATATTTAAATAACAGGATGATTGAACAGTAACTAGTTTTTATAATGCAAATGAATATATCACAAAACTGTTTTATCAGGTAAACTGAAAGGCACTGCAATATAACTGACCCTGAAGGTAGGACATAACTTATTTATAATGTGATCACTAGAAAGTTTTCACCTCAGTATCTTAATTGATCATATTGATTTTGTTTGTTCGTATGGACTTTTGACGTACCTCACAGCAGTTAGTATCATTTATTGTCAGAATTAAGACAGTTAATTACAGACCATAACTTATGTCACTGATATTGATAAATTTAAGTCTATTATTTTAAATGCAACTTAAAGCTTCGTAATGAATGGTTTTAAGACATATTAAGATACATTGTAGCTGAAGATAAATTGAAATTTGTACTGTTACATAAGACAAGTTACAAAAAAAATGAAACATTACATTATCACCAGTAATCTTTATCAGCTGGATGGGACAAACTACATAGCCTTATAACCTCAATAAGATAAAGTTTAATCTGAATGGTAATATAGACCCAGAACAGAATAAATTAAAAGTGACTTTATACACACATTTTATCTGTTTTAATTTTGAGCAGCCAGAATCTCCTCTATGAAAATTTTGGCAAGTATATATATATATGCATGACTATAAACAAATGACATAGCTACCTTGTTAACAACACACTAGTCTTAACAGTGATGAACCATGTATACTGTTTATGCTGAGGAAAAAAAGATTTACACAAACAAATCTATTATAGCCAGATCCCTGCAGGTAGATTATTTGGTTTGTATCAATATATTTATATATATATATATAAGAATGAAAATAGAGCTGTCTGATATTTTCATGACATCTGCACATATGGCTTGCATATATCTGTATAAAGCCTATGCTTGGAGAGTACCAGTGGCATAACCAAACATTCAGATGACCTGACCTATGAACTCCTCTTCCTCATGGTCAGTTGCATCCTAAACATGCACACTCGTCAGAGATTGCTATATACTGTATATATGCCACCTATCTTAATCAAAACGACAGTACATATCTAATGCATAGGCCACACTATATCTTAATTAAAATGACGGTACAGATTGATCGATATAGCTTGAGCAGGGGAACCAGTTTGATTAACATATTATAATCTTCAAACAAGAGGCCCAGGGGGCCTGTATCGCTCACCTGTTTCTTTTGTTACATGAAACTGACATATAGGTAACTTAAGACCAAATTTGGTAACTAGAACATAAGACATTTTAACATCTCTTAAACAGTTCTGAAGATATTGTTGCTTGAAATTTTAATTTTAAAGCTTTTAACCCACATTGACGTTTGACTTCCGACTTGCACTTAAAGTTGACCTTTGACCTCATTACTGTAATAAAGAAAACAATTCACACAGCTGGTCTACATAACATAGCCAAGTATCATGGCTCTAGTCCAAATGGTTCTTAGAATATTGTTGTTTTTGAAGTTTTTAACATATTTGACCCCTGTGACCTTGAAAATAGGTCAAGGCCATTATAATGAGGAAACTTTATAGCATTTCATCCCAGGTACCTACTGGACAAATATCATGACCCAGTGCCTTATGGAACTTGAGAAGAAGATTGTTAAAGCCTTTAACCTGTGTTGACATTTGACCCCTGACTAGCATTTAAAGTTGACCTTGACCTCATTAATGTAATTGAGAAAAATATTTGCACTGCTTGTCTACATAACATACCAACGTATCATGTCTCTAGTCTAAATGGTTCTAATTAGGATATTGTTCTTTGAAATTTTTAACATATTTGACCCCAGTGACCTTGAAAGTAGGTCAAGGTCATTTTAATGAGGAAACTTCATAGCACTCCCTCTCAGGTACCTACTGGCCAAATGTCATGACCCTAGGTCCTCCAGTTCTTCTTCAGAAGTCATTCATTAGAAAAAGTTAACGGACGGACAACAGACACCGCAGTATGGCATAAGCTCACACTGCCCTTCAGGACAGGTGAGCTTAAAACAATAAGATATCTACTGTACATAAAGCATATCAGCTATCAATAAATAAATTCCCCTTTCCGTTTAACTGTTCAGGTAAATTCATGCGCCACTACCATAGATCATGAGATGTTATTATATGATGGGGAGGGTCATATTGAGCTTCGACAGTGTACATTTAATATATGGTGTTAATTCTTTTAGTATAATACCAGAAAAAAGCTATGCACAGTGTATCCGTTATCTAAATTTAATGTGGACAACCAAAATCATTCATGAATGACCAATTCATGAAAGATATTTGCCAACATTATACAATCTACACTCCAGTTACATATTGAATGATGAAATCGTAAAAACAACATTGTTATAATTGTTATGCACACAGTCAGAAGTACCAGTACCTCATCCATAATAACTAGTGTTGTTGCTAAGAAGTTCGTCAGTATTTCGGAATAATTCGCCATTAGAGTTACATCCCTTGTTATCAAGTACAATGCTTATGTCAAGAATATACAAGGTACTACAGTATGCGTTAGTAAAATGATCACCACATACTTACGCCTTGATCGATTGTTGATTGTTCTGCATTACATACAATAGTATAACTCTATCTTCGATTCATTTGCCGGATCTTCATTTCATCAATCCCAACCCGTTTGTCTTTCAAAGCTTCCTGTGTATGTTTAGTAGATGGCGCCACCAACATGCATATGTAATGACCCGAAACTTTACACTGACCTTCACCGATGGTAGCTTTAATGGCTTTAAAGATACATTGATATATATTTAGGAATACAAAGTATTAATTCATGGAACATAGGCCTGCCTATACATTTGATTCAATAGTTATTGAAGGCGGAAACAAGCACTTGCATTCCCTCCTAGAGGGAGAAAACTCTTTTTAATATATCACTCGGAATTTTCTGTTTCATCCATTTAATCAATTCTATGGTTGAGAGAGTTCCGAATAGAATAGTTACTGTTTACAAATGGCGGACTACTGTACTTACGGGTGACGAGAAAAGATGTGGAGCAATATAAGGTAACGTTTTGACTTGCAACGCATCATGCATTGGAACCCATTGATTTACATCTACATTTGCATGGTACGATGCCGAATCAAAGTTAAACTATCCTATATCAATGAGATGAAAGAGTTGAGATTATTTCTGCGTTGTGTCAAATACATGACATTAACGTTAACGACTACTGTACTTACAGTTATAATAATAATATTGTTTATTCAGGTAAAAGATACATGGCAAACATAAAATTACAATACACAAGCAAAGAGAGCACATAATGGTATTTGATGAAAGACTAACCTACAGATATCACAAAAACCATATGACTAAAAATTATATTATTTCAAGTAAAAAGCATATATTCAGCACTAGGTAGTACTAGTAGAATATCACATACATTTTGTAGGTACAGACAGTGAAAAATTATCTTGAACTGGTAATCTGTTACCTTGGATGGCCCGTGAAAGTTTTGAAAAAACGTATTTACAATGGGGTCCTTTGGAAAAATATTAGCAATTAACCAGTCAGGATATATGTACTCACTCTGGATGGTTCTTTTAATGAATACTACAATTATTAAAGGAACTTAAAGTGGTATAGGGTAATTAGATATTATAAAAAGACAAATTCATTTTGATGTTCCGTTTTAGCTATTTCCATCAAGTGATGTTTAACCTGAAGTTTAAACTGATGTTTTTTGTGTAGACATTTGATTGACCTAGGTAAAGAATTCCAGTCTCTGATTCCATTATAGAAAAAAGTGGAGGACAAAGCTCCCCTAATAGATTGTACTAAAAAAATGTGTTCACAAGATCTCGTAAAACGAGTATTGTTATTTCTTATTAAACATTTGTTCATATACTTTGGAAAGCACTGATGATAATATTAAAAACATGATTGAGACGAAGCTGTTTAACTCCATGATTTACCCTTAGCATATTTAACGAGGCAAGTTCCTCAAATGAAATTTGTTTCCTATGCATGGTCCAACTGGAGAATAAATCTTACAAATTTGTTCTGGATAATTTGTAGTTTCTTTTGATATTTTTTGGTTAGGCCGCTGTAACAGGACGAGCAGGCATAATCAAAATGGCATTGTATCAGTGCTGAACACAGTGTTTTTCTGGATTTCATTGATAGACATTTACTTTTTCTATAAAGACATTTTAGATTCTGGTTAAATTTATGAATTGCGTTGAGTACTATACTTTCCCCAGATAGGAATTCATCTAGCTGAACACCAAGATATTTTACTGAGGATTTGGACTCAATTTTAAATCCATTGCAAGTACTTCGAAACCTTCACCTGGTAAGGTTTTGAGTTTTCTTTTGGATACAAAAATTATACTTTCAGTTTTACCTAGATGAATGGAAAGTTTGTTGTCTACAAGCCAATTACCACATGATTCAAGAACTTGAGAGAGTTTTTCTGAAATTACTTTGGGATCCATATGTGAAAAAAGTACAGTACTATCATCAGCATACAATAGCAACTTACAGTCACAATTAAATACTGATTTGCATGCTGTAAACATATGTTAAAAACAAAAGAGGACCCAGCATACTTCCTTGTGGTACTCCACAAGTTACATGTCCTACGTTAGGTGTTACATTGTTTATATGAACAACTTGCTTTCTGTCAGATAAATAGGATTTAAATCATATATAAAAGTTCTTGTAACGTTAAATAGCCTCAGCGCTTATTTGGGACTAAGGATGTGTTGATATAATGTAAATGCCGATCTCATTCTATTTCAGAATACTCACCGTTTAATTTGTTAGACAAACTGGAATAAAAAGTCATAGGGAAAGGATAATAAGCCAGTGTTGTTTACCATAATCAATAATCATGTCGATGAGGACGAAGATAAATGGCTACACGGCCTGGGTAAATCTTCGTCTGATGCCCTATGACCAGCTGCTGAACAATGCTCTGATGGACCTACTGACAGGAACACACATGAAGTTTCTCCTGGAAAGCATCACTGGCAGGGATATCAAACGACTGGAGAGCTTTGATGAGTAAGATTAAATACATTAACCATCCCTTGCCTAGACTGTCTTGCGGTTTAAAGTATTTGTTTGAATGCCAGTGTTCTAGTAAGAAATGCACACAGGTTTAACTCAAGGCATTTGTGAGTAATAACTCTGTGGGTTTGTGTCTTAAAATTTTCCATGAATATTGATTCTTTAACTTCGCGTTTTAAATTTTTTATGATGAAATTGTTGCATCTCTGTAGCTTCCATATTCACACTGAAAGCCAAACTGAATTGAGATGGATACAGTGATCCTTTTCTGTTAACAAGTTTAAATGATGTTTTACAGCCTTTCTCAGCAGCAGAAACAGACAAGGGTGGAGTGGGTGATGCATGAACTGAAGACGTGCCAGGTTTTACCAGATGATGTTGCTATTGACTCCAGGCTGTTTGCTATGAGGAGTGCAGATCATGTATGTCTTAAGTTTGTGTCATAAAGCATCAAGGCTTTCAGTTGGCAAATCAATTGCTGTAGGTTTTACCACAGGGGCATGGATCGCTTTACTTGTAATATTAAAAAATAGGGGTCTCCTATACTAATAAATACATTATTAGTATAGGAGACCCCTATTTTTAATATTACAAGTAAAGCGATCCATGCCCCTGTGATGCCACATATATAATTAGAAATTAGAAAGTTATCCTAACTTCAGTTTGTTGGAATATGTATGTTTAACAATATGTAATGACCATGTTTATTAATTGTAGATTGCACAGCTCTGTTCTTTTCACGTTTTCCCTACAAAATATCATGTTTAGTTATGCTTAAATCATGTTCAAAATAGGTTATTCAGCAGGATAAAATAGATGATATGAATGTTTTATTTTCTAGTTAAGATTCCACATTAAAAGACTATATAGTATGGGGATTTTTTTCATCTAAAATTTAAAAAAGAAATGTTTTTCATCTCTTGAGGTTTTACCAATAGATTGCAATCAGAACACAATGTAATGTAAGATATTCCGCTACGGTAACAGAAATAGTGGATAATTATTCTGTCAGATAAAAGTATATTGTACATCATGTACTAAAGCTAAAAAAATATTTGTTGAACGTTTCTCCTTCTGTATTGTTGAATATGCTCTTCACTGATTAACAGTTTGTAGTGTTATTCTTTCAAGGTTTCAGATAACACTCAGAGGTAATCAACTAGATTCTTATATAATTTAAACAACAAATCAGGAATGAAGTGTAGTTATTGAATTTTTCTTTACGTTGGTAAGGTGTTTGACCTGCTATGGAGACTGATCAGCCATGACATATGGTTTGTGTGGGAGAGGGCGGAATACCTACAACATGTGGACATGGATGTCCTCACACAGATCCCATTTAAGGTAGGAATTAAAGTCCCACCAATTGGTAGGAAGAAAAATAAGGTCTGGTGTTTATAATTCTTTATGGTAAACAGTGCATACTATTAATAAAGTGATATTGTCGATATCAGTGGGAAGTGAGTCGTTGGTGTATGGTCAAGGTGCCATAACCAATAGTCAAGATTATAAATGTCAGATGTAATATCTATTAACAGTAAACATATTACATAACAATATTATGAAGAAATATTGTAGGCATTGACACCAAGTGTCCATTGATACAGGTTAAAGGCCAATGTCTTGGAGTCAAATTCTACGTTCCTTTCCAGCAAAATATTTGATTATAAAAATGTTATAAAGACATGTCTCAAGATAATATAGGCAAATGATATTCCCTCTGTGGGTTATTCTTGTGACCTGTTTTGTCGGTGCAAAACGTCCCTCTGGGATCCCTTGTAATCGCCTGTTAATGATCAAGGGTCATATTGACTTTGTGGTACTGTCTGGTGTTGATATGACATTAAGAAAGTAAATGTGATGTTAAACCTTCAGATTTATATAGAGAAGAGAATCTGTGAAATTGTCATTAAAATGTATTCATCATTGATTAAATGATAACAATTTATGTTGTGTGTTGTAGATACTCTCAATCAACCATAATAATACATTGATAAAAATGTATTACACGAAAAAAAAAAAACTTTCTTTTTCAAGTGGACACCAGAACCACCTCCAAAAAAGAAGAAAAGTAAAAAACCCAAGAAGTCCTTACTATCAGGGTTTGGATCTGGTTCACAGGCAGAAGATGATAGTGTAAGGATACAAAATACAAAAAAGTTTTAAATCTATATTTAAATCATCAACCCCTATATATTTACAGCCTACTGTGAAACGTCATGTAAGAATGAAATAATGACGATTTTTATTGCAGGTTTAGCACAAATTGTAACAAAGCTCTTATGTGTTACCATTATTGGTACCATTAAATACTGATTTTACTGACTGTTCCGCTACTTTAATAACAGGTTTTACTTCATTAAAGTATCTAGCTGTATACATTGCCTGGTACCAGCATGCTGGATGGATTGTGATATTTGAAAGAGGGAAATCCTTACAGCGGAAACCATCTTGGTCATGTAACATCACACAAACTGTGATAAACACTGTCACTATTGGTAATAAGATTAAGAATGAAATCTCTGTAAGTTGCTAACACAGTGACTGTCAAAGTAAAACTTTATCTTTGTCAGATCAAACTTTTATACAACCAGATTACCAGATGGATGTTAGTTCTACAGTAGTTCTTAAATAATATGTGAGAGTCGAGGTTGATGGAACAGGGTGTGACAGTGTTTATGAAGCCTCTGGAAACTCACATCCCGAGGGAGCAGGGTGTGACAGTGTTTATGAAGCCTCTGGAAACCCTCATCCCGAGGGAGCAGGGTGTGACAGTGTTTATGAAGCCTCTGGAAACCCTCATCCGAGGGAGCAGGGTGTGACAGTGTTTATGAAGCCCCTGGAAACTCATCCTGAGGGAGCAGGGTGTGATAGTGTTTCTGAAGCCTCTAGAAACCCTCATCTTGAGGGAGCAGGGTGTGATAGTGTTTCTGAAGCCTCTAGAAACCCTCATCCCAAGGAAGCAGGGTGTGACAGTGTTTCTGAAGCATATGGAAACCCTCATCCCGAGGGAGCAGGGTGTGACAGTGTTTATGAAGCCCCTGGAAACTCTCATCCTGAGGGAGCAGGGTGTGACAGTGTTTCTGAAGCCTCTAGAAACACTCATCCTGAGGGAGCAGGGTGTGATAGTGTTTCTGAAGCCTCTAGAAACCCTCATCTTGAGGGAGCAGGGTGTGATAGTGTTTCTGAAGCCTCTAGAAACCCTCATCCCAAGGAAGCAGGGTGTGACAGTTTTTCTGAAGCATATGGAAACCCTCATCCCGAGGGAGCAGGGTGTGACAGTGTTTATGAAGCCCCTGGAAACTCTCATCCTGAGGGAGCAGGGTGTGATAGTGTTTCTGAAGCCTCTAGAAACCCTCATCTTGAGGGAGCAGGGTGTGATAGTGTTTCTGAAGCCTCTAGAAACCCTCATCCCAAGGAAGCAGGGTGTGACAGTGTTTCTGAAGCATATGGAAACCCTCATCCTGAGGGAGCAGGGTGTGACAGTGTTTATGAAGCCCCTGGAAACTCTCATCCTGAGGGAGCAGGGTGTGACAGTGTTTCTGAAGCCTCTGGAAACCCTCATCCAAAGGGAGCAGGGTGTGACAGTGTTTCTGAAGCCTCTGGAAACCCTCATCCAAAGGGAGCAGGGTGTGACAGTGTTTCTGAAGCCTCTGGAAACCCTCATCCAAAGGGAGCAGGGTGTGACAGTGTTTCTGAAGCCTCTGGAAACCCTCATCCAAAGGGAGCAGGGTGTGACAGTGTTTCTGAACCCTCTGGAAACCCTCATCCAAAGGGAGCAGGGTGTGACAGTGTTTCTGAAGCCTCTGGAAACCCTCATCCCGAGGGAGCAGGGTGTGACAGTGTTTATGAAGCCCCTGGAAACTCTCATCCTGAGGGAGCAGGGTGTGACAGTGTTTCTGAAGCCTCTGGAAACCCTCATCCAAAGGAAGCAGGGTGTGACAGTGTTTATGAAGCCTCTGGAAACTCTCGTTCCAAGGGATCAGGGTGTGACAGTGTTTCTGAAGCCTCTGGAAACCCTCATCCAAAGGGAGCAGGGTTTGACAGTGTTTCTGAACCCTCTGGAAACCCTCGTCCAAAGGGAGCAGGGTGTGACAGTGTTTCTGAAGCCTCTGGAAATCTGCATCCCTTAACCTGCAGACTGATGATCATGTGCATATATATCAAAGTTTAATACTTTGTTGTAACATTTGTGATGACAGGGTATGTTTATTAAAATGTTTCACTTGTGTTGTTCTGTAGGGCACTTTAGACTCAATTGATCTGAGTTCACCATCACCAATAATGGTTTGTTAATAGGTTACACTTCCTTTGTTCTCTGTCACTCTGGGAATATGGAATATTTATGGTCTATAGCTGGTGATCAGTCATCTATTAATCTCTCTAAATGTCAGTTTTCCTCTTAAATGTTTCTTATTCTTTAATATTAAAACCGGATGTTTAGCATCCATACAATTTCTAAATGAGTGGTATATTTTGTACTTCATTTTCTGTTGATCCTATTTAAGAATCTACACCTTTTTTCCTATAGAATCTGATTTCTACTTGGTATGGGGAATATTTTGGTTGTGTTTTAGTTTGAGGGAATTGTTTCTTCTTTGGCCTACTAATAAAGCTATGATCATATTGCTTGTTGACATTAATACATGACAATGGGTATTGGTTTGTGAGTTTGTGTTTTCTGTCCTAACCAACTGTTGACTAGAGAGATGATGTATGTTACCTAACACACTAACTGGATTGGGTCTCCTTTTGTTCACCTTGTTATTAATTTGTTATTTACCTATGATGATGAGCCTCTCTACGGATCAGACATTTCTGGTACATATTAACAATCTTTCAGTGATTAAAAAGTTCCTAATTGTATTTAATTGTGATTTTGATTTGATAGAAAATTTGTTTAGGATCTATTTGACTATTGTAACTTATTATTTTGGTAAATTTGTTAAATTTTAATTTTAAACAGTGTTCACAAATAGGCACGATTAACTTTTTTAAAAAGTGGGTTAAGACATGTTAAGGAAGCTAAGGGCACATTGATCTATTCCAGATTATAACAAAATTTCACTTATAATAGTTTATATTTGATGGTTTCAGATTTATGGGATTTTCATACCTTTCAGGAATTAGTGAACTGTGTGATGTCTTTTGATTAACTGTAGACTAGTAGAAGTGTTGTATGTAACTATTGTCACATGTAAGACAGGATTATAGAAACAATTTGATAACATACGGCAATATCAATAATCAATACACTGTGATACATTAATGTTGTACACTTATCATAGTACTACATCAGTGATGATGTAACTATCACCATACATAAGACACAATTTTAGACCCATTTTATAACATACAGTAAAAGCCCATTGTAATGCCACCTGTTAAACCGCCAAACCCGCACACTGCCATGGATTTACTCAGAACCGATTTCCCCCAACGCGGCCAGAAGGTGGCGGTATAACGAGGTTTTACTGTAACAACAGCAACACTACTACAAGACTTTAGCGACTTGTATTGTATTATTTGTGTGAAGTGTGGTTTTATCAACTTCTATGATAGCTAGGTGTCATTGTTACATAGTATTAAAAGTATAATGGCTGAAGTTATTGCATTAAATTATGAAAATGAATAAAATTGAACTGCATGTCAACTACCATATTTATAATTATATTGTAAGCTGATCAGTAACAAGTATAGATATGGGAGGTCTCGTCTCCATTCTCTTAGAGAAACATGATATTTATCATAGTTCTTGAAATTAAATTTCTTTATAAAAATTCTTCTTTGAAAAACAAATAGTGAGTACATGTATAACGATGATTTAGTACACTATTCAAGTACACTATTCAAGTACACTATTCAAATACACTATTCAAGTACACTATTCAAGTACACTATTCAAGTACACTATTCATGTACACTATTCAAGAAAGATTTGATATCAGTGAGTGTAATCTACTGTCTACTACATAAATGTACTACTGTTCCTTAAAACAATAGCTTTATTAACCTGTCCGTATCATTATGAGCTTCAAATACAACATGTGATATGTATATTTTAATGATTCCTCTTCTAGTCAGATGATATTATGGAGGACTGGGTTAAGTTCCCTAACGCTGAGTGGGTGAAAAACTTCAAGAAGAAGAAAAGGGAAATTGGTAACTACCCTAGTCCTGATGAGTGTATCTTAGAAATGGTCAACTATCAACTCAAGGTATGTACATCCTTTCCCTGGAGGTACTGTGTGTCTTTTAAAAAATACCACATGTCTTTTAAAATGTATCACTTGTCTCGTGAGACAGCAAGTCTTTTAAAAATTAACACCTGTTTGGAGATACATGTATACTGCTGGTCTTTAGGGACCTTTGGAGATATAGCCTTAATGACCAGAAACCACATACATTGTTGTTGTGTATCTTTCAAGGGATGACTTTTCCCCAGGAACTGCATGTCTTCAAGAGATAAACCCTGTTTTCAGGAACAAAATGCTTTGAGTGACATGTATTAGGCATTCTGCCATTCTATGCTAGGGACCCCGTTCTCAAATCATCATGTGGTAGAAATAATTAATTAATTAAAGATTTGCTTCTCCTTCTTATTTTTTCCTTTCCTTTCCACCTATTATGCATAAATGAAATTCTTTTGTTGGAATTGATAGATATGTTCATTTTGGACTTGATTTATAGGAAATTTAAATTGATATATAAACATCATTTACTGATGTATGTCATATTAATTTTGATTAGGTGTACATCAGTAAGTTATTATTTTGACAATTTGGAATTGATTTGTTACAGACAACCAGGGATGGAAGAAATCTGAGTTGCCATGTAAGTTAATTACCTATTTTACTGCTGTATGAAAACTGTACACAGTTTTGTATGTAGGACAAGATTAATCTGGAGTCTCCTCCATTTACATGTAATCATCAGTGTTGTGGGAAACGATATTGTAGACAAAATGTCCAAATGGTGGTAGGGTTTAGTTGTGGTAAGTGTTAACATGATTAAATGTTTACAGTAACAGAAATGTCATAATCATACAGCAATATCTAACACTCTATGGCATTGCCAGATGGCATTCATGTCAGATATGAATGCCATGACCCACATGTTTGAATCGTCATCATTGCATACCATATTCTTTCCTGGAAAATGGCTGTTCTATTCTTTATGCAAGCATACATAATTAAAAATACACTTATTTGTACAGTATTTTGATACTTTAAATTTCTTTGATGTCAAATATCTGTAATGTATAAATGGATATTTCTAGGAGGATAGACAAACTTGGATATCATAGCAATCAAGGTATGCTCTCACCTTATGTGTTGTGTGTGTTTCTATTTATTTTCCTTTTTTGCATGTTTTCTTGTTCGATGAGTTGGTTTAGAAGGGTTTGTGGTATGCCACAGAGACACCAACACAGGTGTATGGATCTGTAAGGAAGAAGCCATATATATTATAATGGAACCAATTTACATTTATTATAGTATATACATACTATGACATTATAGTCCATTTATTATGTTTCAGACCATTGATGACTTTGTTGACAGTAGAGTGCTGTGCGCTCTTGTCAACTCCTTTGTACCAAACACTTTTACCACTGACCTCCTCCTCAATGACAGGTAAATACAAAATGTCATCACACATCAACTGCATTCCCATAAATATCAACTTGCCTTCATTCAATATCTACTGCCTTCCTACTGTCCCATTCAATATCTACTGCCTTCCTACTGTCCCATTCAATGTCTACTGCCTTCCACCCTTCCTATTCCGTATCAAATGCCTTCCTGCTGTCCCATTTAGCATATACTGCCTTCCACCTTTCCCATTTAATATCTACTGCCTTCCACCTTTCCCATTTAATATATACTGCCTTCCACCTTTCCCATTTAATATCTACTGCCTTCCTACTTTCCCATTCAATATCTACTGCCTTCCTACTGTCCCATTCAATATCTACTGCCTTTCTACTGTCCCATTCAATATCTACTGCCTTCCTATTTTCTCAAACAATATCAGCTGGCTTCCTGCTTTCCCATGTAATATCTACTGCCTTCCACCTTTCCCATGTAATATCTACTGCCTTCCACCTGTCCCATTCAATATCTACTGCCTTCCTACTGTCCCAATTAATATCTACTGCCTTCCTACTGTCCCATTTAATATCTACTGCCTTCCATCATTCCAATGTGAATTCAATAGATGAGTTTGTTGTGTAATCCATGTAAAATCACTTTATTTGCCGAGATATTTGTCATTTTAGTTTTGTACATATTATAGATTGTATCTAGTAACTAAAAACCATTTGCACAAACAAAAATTATGCACTTACAAATTTTAACAATTATACTATGTAACTTGCATGAATAATTACAAATCACTCACATAATATTGTAAACCGCTTACTTTTCAAGCATTGTCTATATTTATTTATTGTACACTATCGTATACTGTTTGATGTTTGGCTGTTGTATTCAGCATGTGTCACTATTACATGTTGTAGCACCGTGTTTATGTATTCCCCAGATGGACGATAAACCTTGCACTGCGTACAGCAGAAAAAATGTTTTATGCAGAGACACCGTTTGACTCGGAGGACTTAGTTGAGGTATAAAAATAGTGATCAGTATGTTTTTTAATTGAGAGAAAATCAATGGAGAAGATGTGAATGAATTTTGAAATTGTTTGCACCAAAAAGGACAGAGTTAAATGTAGAGTTAACTCCTTTTCTTATTTTCAATGACGTATAAAATATGACCATATTTGTCGTCCCTTTTTTATTGATGATTCACAAAAGTGTTGGAATAAGATCACTTATAAAATCTTTTATTGATGTGTAGCATCACAATTTAAACCAGAATATATTTTTGAGCCACCAAAATGTTTCCCAACTGGCAATATATAACGCCCAGATTTATGACACTATACGTGGTTGTATTTCAACATTTACATTATATTTTACCGTTAACAGCTTTACAAATCCCTAGTAATGAGACCTTGGTAGCTCCAAGACTTTCATTTGAGTCATTACAATTGTGAGGTCATAATGTTTGTTATTGCTACCTGGAAGTTGATAATGGCTGTTCTATTTATTGAAATACTAGCTATCTCAGATTTGAACAGCAAATACAACAGTTTAGGCCAGACAGTTTTCAAACTTTACAAAAACAATGAATAAATTGAAGCCTGACATTACCAGTACCTGACATTACCAGTACCTGACTTACCAGTACCTGACTTACCAGTACCTGACATTACCAGTACCTGACATTACCAGTACCTGACATTACCAGTACCTGACTTACCAGTACATGACATTACCAGTACCTGACATTACCAGTACCTGACTTACCAGTACCTGACATTACCAGTACCTGACATTACCAGTACCTGACTTAAGGACATCCTTTTTGAGTAGTCACCTAATTTTATGGCCCATAATAACTGGTTTCCTGACACACTTTCTTATTTAACAGTTCAACTTTTCTTGATGTCAGTTAAGTCAGAATTCAATATCTGAGTGGAATTGCAGATAATCATAAAATGGAAGCTGAGATAAAGCCATGGGCTGTTTCCAATAGAGGACCATTCTCATAGATCTGTGTATGTAAGAGACAGATAACAGATTACTGTGTAGTACCAGGGCAAGTCCTGTCAGTCGTTTGCTTGGTTCTTGAAAAAGCGTTTCTGGTCATAATCTTACCGCTATATAAACAATGTACCATCTACACATGTTGATTTTTTCATATTTGTGTGTGAACACTTCATTTATATTATATATATATATCAATAATTACACTAAAGTTACAACAAATTGTATACTTACATTGTATATCAATTATTGCACTACAGTTACCACAAATTGTATACTTACATTGTATATCAATTATTGCACTACAGTTACCACAAATTGTATATTTACATTACATATCAATTATTGCACTACAGTTACCACAAATTGTATACTTACATTGTATATCAATTATTGCACTACAGTTACAACAAATTGTATACTTGAATTGTATATCAATGATTACACTACAGTTACCAAAAATCGTAGAATTACATTGTATATCAATGATTACACTACAGTTACCACAAATTGTATACTTACATTGTATATCAATTATTGCACTACAGTTACAACAAATTGTATACTTGCATTGTATATCAATGATTACACTACAGTTACCATAAATCGTAGAATTACATTGTATAATTACATTGTATATTAATGATTTCACTACAGTTACCATCAATTGTATAATTACATTGTATATCAATGATTACACTAGTTACCACAAATCGTATAATTACATTGTATATCAATGATTACACTACAGTTACCATAAATCGTAGAATTACATTGCATATCAATGATTACACTATGATTATGTGTAATATATTACAACTTAGTATTGTATACATGCTCGAACAAAACCTAGAATTCTCCTTAGGTTTAATTGTTAATTATGTCATAACATGTAATTGTTCTGTTGATTATAAATTTTGATTAGCTTGAACAAATAACTTGTTATGTGTGTGAGAATTTTCTAATTGACCAATCACTATGAAAGTTTGATAATTTTACTGCTTGTCCATACAGATTAAAGTTTGGTACAGTCCTATATTATTTGATTCACTTGTAATTTACAAAGTCAAGTTTTTGCCTTTACAAGCTTTGATTATATTTACATATGATGGTAATATTTCCAGGCTGATCCAACAGCAGTGTGTTCCTATTTCTGTTTCTTCCTGATGATGGCATACAAATATCGCCAGTGTAAGGGGGCAGTTAATCGGGTGGTAAGTGTTCATAGTTTGTTATAGACTTTGTTTTACAATCTCATGTAGCAAAAAGTAATTCATACTAAAAGAGATAATTGATAAGGGTGACAAACTGATAGGAATGACAACTGAAATAAGGGAGACAACTGATAAGGGAGATAACTGATAGGGGTGACAAACTGATAGTGAAATCTGAAATAGGGGAAACAACTGATAGGGGTGACAAACTGAAATAGGGGAGATAATTGATAAGGGTGACTAACTTATAGGTGTGACAACTGAAATAAGGGAGACAACTGATAAGGGAGATAATTGATAGGGGTGACAAACTGAAATAGGGGAGATAATTGATAAGGGTGACTAACTTATAGGAATGACAACTGAAATAAGGGAGACAACTGATAAGGGAGATAATTGATAGGGGTGACAAACTGAAAGGAGTGAAAACTGAAATAGGGGAAACAACTGATAGGAGTGACAAACTGATAGGAGGAGATAGAGGAGATAATTGTAATAGAGGAGATAATTGATAGGGGTGACAAACTGATAGGAGTGAAAACTGAAATAGGGGAAACAACTGATAGGAGTGACAAACTGATAGGAGGAGATAGAGGAGATAATTGTAATAGAGGAGATAATTGATAGGGGTGACAAACTGATAGGAGTGAAAACTGAAATAGGGGAAACAACTGATAGGAGTGACAAACTGATAGGAGTGACAACTGTAATAGAGGAGATAATTGATAGGGGTGACAAATTGATAGGAGTGACAACTGTAATAGAGGAGATAATTGATAGGGGTGACAAACTGATAGGAGTGACAACTGTAATAGGGGAAACAACTGATAAGGGTGACAAACTGAAATAGGGGAAACAACTGATAGGAGTGACAAACTGATAGGAGTGAAAACTGAAATAGAGGAGATAATTGATAGGGGTGACAAACTGAAATAGGGGAGATAATTGATAAGGGTGACTAACTTATAGGAATGACAACTGAAATAAGGGAGACAACTGATAAGGGAGATAATTGATAGGGGTGACAAACTGATACGAGTGAAAACTGAAATAGGAGAAACAACTGATAGGAGTGACAACTGAAATAGGGGAAACAACTGATAGGAGTGACAACTGAAATAGGGGAAACAACTGATAGTGGTGACAAACTGATAGGAGTGACAACTGTAATGGGGGAAACAACTGATAAGGGTGACAACCTCATAGGAATGACAACTGATAAGGGAGATAATTGATAATGGAGGGGCTTGTTACATATTAACTGATGAGTGTTCCTATTTCCTCCAGGATTACATCAGCATGTTGATCAGGGAATGTAACCATGAGATTAGTAAGTTCCCCGCAATAGTGTCAAACATGCAGGAACTGCAGCGACGTAAGGAGGTGAAGAATGAGATAGAACAACACAAGAAAGGTAAAGTCTGGTACTTTGTCATTGGGAGAACAACACAGATAGCAAAACAAAAACAGAGACAAATATTGAACAGACTTTCCTTACAGTTGGATAGATAGCATGGCAGTTATAAAAGATCTGTTGGCCAAGGGACTGAACAGTGTATAACTTTGGGCAGAGGGCTCAATCCAACAGTGAAATATATAAAGAATATCATACTGAATTTTGACTTTCTCAATTTATATTTATTCATTTATTTTTTAAATTGAAATTAGTTGTTTCCTCACAACATTTATCTTTTCAACTATAAAACATGTTTGGTTCTAATTTACTTTTGTGTGTGTGTGATGTTCCTTTCATTACTAGGATGCAGGTGATATTGACATTTACTGGGGTACATCTCCTTGTCCATCTTCGCTAGCCAAGTGTTTGCTTCGTATACACTCCACTTACAGGGTAAGTGGAGTGTATACGAAGAGAACACTTGGCTAGCGAAGATGCTCCTTGTCTTGAACTTCCTAATTCATGTAATCTCTAATTTTGTCATAAAGCAAAATATTTACATTACCAAATCTGCATTATGTCTTTCTAACAGCCCTGGAGAAGTTCAATGGCAGATTTGATATCCCCTACTGTAAGAAATGGATGAATCATGTAGAATACGTACAGAATGAGGTAGGTTTAGCATCAATATGTAATAATAATAATAATAATAATGCTTTAATTATTTACGGCAATAATATATACAGAGTAATAGCATAAAATATGAATATAAATTCAGGTATAATCAAAGGCAACATTGCATAGATTTAAAATACAATTCTAGCATAATTACAGCCAAACGTGTTGCTGTAAAATGTATAGTAAATTAATTGTACATGGCCACAATGTAATTATATTATCAATACTTAGTAATTTACAGACAACATTGCACAGATTGTAATCTTTCTAGTACAGGAACTTCAAGATAACATGGAGGATACAGCAATATGGTCATAATATAAATATGGCTCAAACTAGAATTCAAAGGTGAAGAAAGTGCTTAAAACATTTTGTCTTGAAAGACTGTAGACTGTCAGAATTTTTAATTTGTAAAGGCAATCCATTCCATACATGAATACCAGACATTTGAAAGCTTTTCTTATATAGTTCTATCTTAGGTTTGGGTTGGATCAGTTCTCTATCTGTTGTAGAACGTAAAGTATAGTTAGATGGAGGTTGGACAAATAAATTCTTGAGGTATTTAGGTGTTAATCCATTAATTGATTTATACATCAGTACAGCTTTGTGATAATTCACCCTTTTATTAATTATAAAAAGTATTGTACAGAATGAGGTAGGTTTAGCATCAATATGTACAGAATAAGGTAGGTTTAGTGTCGATGCATACAGAATGAGATAGGTTTAGCATCAATATGTACAGAATAAGGTAGGTTTAGTGTCTGGAGTGGGACACAAGAAAATGAGGTAGGCATTGCTTCCAACTTTTGAGCAAAGAGTCATTTCACCTATATCTACATTTCCATGCAGGCTCTAAATAATCCTTAATAAGATGTCGGTACAAAACAATAGCCAAAAGAACTATTACACGTGAATTATGTTTTCCAATCAGAACATATACTTCTGTCATGCTCATAAAATGTATTTAAATTGGTAACAATTTTATCATAATATTATGATGTCAAATTTAGATTTATTGTGAATTTCCTGAATGATCCCCAATTGATGTTTTTCATCTAATGGAAATGGTAACCACAGGAAACTTGAATCTATTCCCCAACAATTACTGTTCCACCATTTGGTAAAATTAAACGAAATCACAAAGAAGAAAAAAAGAAAACATAATTTTACTTGAGGTAAATATCTTCCTGAAGTGTAAATGAATGCTGGTAGTGGGGTGTGGTCTATCTGGTAGTAGGATGTGGTCTATCTGGTAGTGGGGTGTGGTCTATCTGGTAGTGGGATGTGGTCTATCTGGTATTGGAGTGTGGTCTATCTAGTAGTGGAGTGTGGTCTATCTGGTAGTGGGATGTGGTCTATCTGGTAGTGGGGTGTGGTCTAGCTGGCAGTGGGGTGTGGTCTATCTGGTAGTAGGATGTGGTCTATCTGGTAGTGGGGGGTGGTCTATCTGGTAGTGGGATGTGGTATATCTGGTAGTGGGATGTGGTCTATCTGGCAGTGGGGTGTGGTCTATCTGGTAGTGGGATGTGGTATATCTGGTAGTGGGATGTTGTCTATCTGGTAGTGGGTGTGGTCTATCTGGCAGTGGGGTGTGGTCTATCTGGTAGGGGGATGTGGTCTATCTGGTAGTGGGATGTTGTCTATCTGGAAGTGGGGTGTGGTCTATCTGGTGTATGTCAGAAAACAAATACTGTTCTTATGTAACTTAATTCTGTCTGTCGGGTGAGAAGACAAATCGTTTAGTTATGTAAGTGATATGGTGATCTTTTTTGTGTAGATAAAAAAAACACATTGTTTATGTAACTGAACTTTATGTGTAGGTGAGAAGACAAATCCGGGAGAAGATGAAGAGTCGGTTTGACATGATTACAGCCCCGAGGAACATTACAGTGAATGACATATGTCTGTCGTGTGTTATCAACCTGGTCAGTATGACAACTTGAGATAAAAATAGTACTGTTTATATGATATGATTAATAAGTAACAATTTGTAACAATTAATAAGTAATATGAAAAATATATATATATTAGATATTTCTCCCTTGTTTTTGATATGAACATCAAATGACAAATGTTTTGGTAGCCGCCTATTTTGTGATTGAACATAAAACAAAAACAATATTGGTTGAACGCAGCTCTCAATGAGTAGTATTGATTCCCACTTGATTTGGGTTCCAACAAGACAAAGCTTTTGGTTGTCCTATGGTTTACGGGGTGATCAAGGCAAATGTTGGAAAGTATGTGTTGACAATAAAATTGTAATGTAACAGATAACCTATTGAAATATATCTGTTTCCTCATTATAACATTGCTTTTTTATGCTAATTAATGTTCTTTAGATTTGTCAGCCACCTAAAAATTTGTTGGTTTGTAAAATTCTGAAAAGTATGGTTTTGATTTGTCAGACGCTGACGAATGGCTCTGGGTTTTACTTAGCAAGCAATAAGGAAGTTTTGGGTGATGGAAGGAAAGTTGTTCTGAGAGCAAAAGAAACTGGGGACTTCATTGACGACTTCAGCTCTGGACGGTCCCGAGGTAACTTTAATAGTACTCTATCCATATGTCTTGATAATAGCTCTTCAATTATTATTGCTTTTGTATCTTACACAGAAAGCTTTGTGACGTATCTTTAATATACAATGAAACCTCATTATTGTGCTGAAAATAGAATAAAACATTAATGTAAAACGGCATATTATCACCTGATAATTATTTTGCAATTTCATTCACAAAATACGTTTTGTTTTATCAACACTGAAAATTAAATATATGTGATGTCACCAGACAATACATGTATCATATTTTGGAAATTTTACCAGAAAAAGTGAAATGCACATAAGAAGTGTAAATAACCTCAACACTTAATATGATGTTTACTGTATTATTTGCATGTCAGGTGAAGAAAATACAATTTTCATAATTTCAATCATGATTGTATTTCTTAAAATATATACATATTCATTGTAATTTATGAGGAAATTTGATAACAAAGTACAGGAGATTCTAACCTGTTATCACAATGTCAGGTCTTTTTATCCTCTTTTCAAATGAAATGAAATATCTTTCAGTTATCATTATAACACAATAAAGCACTTTTTTTAAACGATACCAAGTTTTCTATTTTGTTACCTCACTGGCATTGAGTTGCTGATAACAATATTATACATTCAAGGTCCAACTGTCAGAGATATTTTAAAGGTGGCAGATGCTGGTGTAGTGGAGATCTACCCCGATAACTATCCGCAAATTGAGGTACAGTATCACTAGCCATACCTGGGTATATGTAATGTTAGTAATTTAAAGGTAAATCACATTTGAAATCATGGTAATTGTTGTAAATATCATTGTGCACTTTCTGTCATCATCCACTGTCCTTAAACAATTAAACATTTTCGTAAAATTAAGCAAAAATCAAGGTTGCCACCCTGGCCTATGATATTTTGACTCCTCAAGAATAGCTGCCATGGATGACTTCAAACTCAACTGAACTGAAACAATTGACTCCAAACTTGGTAAAAATGTTCCGTGCTTAGTCCTGACCTGCTAGTCTCGTTACTTATCATGCTGATCTGCAAATCTAAAATGACTGCTATTACCTCTTATTGCCTATGACGCTTTTACTTCGTCTCAAGATCTGCTGAAAGAGCTGACTCCATGCTGGGTACAGATGTTCTCTGTAAGGTCACCATAAAGTGTTTTAACTTTTTGTGTGTATTTGAAAATCCAAGATGGCCACCCTTTTCATTGATTGTACAAGACATAAATCACATGACAAGAAGTGGGTTACAGGAAGCAACTGGCAAAAAATGATTCCATCTGAAAGCGTTGCACTAGTAGACCAACTGTTTTGGTAATACCAAGTTGGTTTACCAGTCATCAACAGTGCAAGTACACACACTTTTCACAATCTTGTCGATTCATTGTGTTACAGATTTTTGTTGAGGCACAGAGTCGGAACAAGCTCCTCAAGGCAGGCACTGTATTCCTGTACCAGGTCTTCCCCGGCAACACCACAACCTGGCAGAGGCTTTTCATCAAGTCAGCTCGTGAGAATGAGTTTGAGACTGTCCAAAAGATGATTGTGTTCTTCCACAGTAATCCATCCTTCATAAATTCTAAGGAACCGAAGACTGGAAATACTGCCCTTCACTGGGCATGTAGGAATGGTCTGTTTGTAAGTAGTAGTTGTTATATCTATCCTCCACAAATATCTACTGTTATATGACTCAAACTCTACAAATGTTTACTGTTATAAGACTCACCCTCCACGGATAAGTTTTCATTACCGATTTCTATTAGTCCCCAGCCTGTACTACCAGAGGTAACTGAAGGTATCATGCCTTCCATTCTTAGGTCACTCACTTTGTCTGGAATATAAAAAAAATGCCCCTTCGAATGGCGGCTGTTAAGTACTCACTGAAATATAAAAAATGCCAACATTTGTATGTTACCGGACAATACCAGTTATTACCCCTTGTAATGGCGACTGTTAAGAACTGGAATTGTGTCTTGTGCCCATCTATATAAAGAGTTACAGCACTTTGTTCTACATCAGTTTTTCTGGAGCATACCTCATGTACTACTTTTTATAACAGAGTATCACATTCTGTAATCAGGTTTTGTGTCTCGCTATATACAGAGTTATGGCCCTTGTTCATTTTATACCAGAATTTGTCTGGAGGAGGTGATTATAGATTGTTCTCAATACTTTGCTCTGTTTGTGTTCGTACTTTTGCCTTTTACCAGTAACAATGAAACTATTACTTATACAAAAGTTATATTACTATGATTGTTTTATAGCTTTTATGGAAATTACTTGTGTAGATATTGATTCACCATTGCTACAGTCAAAGTTCCACATCATTGTACAGGATCTGTAACATAACAACACATCCTGACATGTTGTCTCCTGATCATCAGACTGTTTAGGAAGTTACCCCACATCCTGACATGTTGTCTCCTGATCATCAGACTGTTTAGGACGTTTCCCCAAATCCTGACATGTTGTCTCCTGATCATCAGACTGTTTAGGACGTTACCTCACATCCTGACATGTTGTCTTCTGATCATCAGACTGTTTAGGACGTTACAGCTAGCTGAGGTTCATCATTAACAGGTTTTACAGTATATAGATATTAGATATGACTTTCTAACCAAACGTTTTATTTCTGACACAGGACATGGTGTGTCTTCTGTTGGAGAATGGTGCCAATGTTGACTCGAGAAATTCCAACAAGAGTACTCCATTGTTTGCCGCTATAGAGGGACTGCACAGGAGGATTTGTCACGTGAGTGGATGTGATGACCCAGATATTTGCTTGTTTCATGAGATTAACAAGCCGTTAATGAAAGTTTTTTGTAGGAACTGATCTTATTGTGGTAGCATATTCAGTAGTTTGGTTTTGTTGTAATGAATGACTACTCATGAGGTTAAGTTATAGATTTGAATTTTTTGAAAATATTTGAGATAAAAAAAATGAATATTTAAAATTTAAGTCCTTAAGCTGTTGTTTTTATCATTGACAACAGAACAATTTTTAATAATACATATCATTATAACCAAACCTGTTTTATCAAGTATAGCTAAAAGTTGCGTCCTTTACTACTAATTTCAAAATACAATGTAATAGATTTGTATCTGAGACTGCAATTAAATTATTTTTTGTCTGTAATGTTTTATAAAATGACAAAGCATTCAAGGCAAAACATTGAAATATTTTATTATTAGAGCTACTTAGTATGAAGTGGAAAAAATGAGGATGAATACTGGTTGTTTGAATATCTTTTCCAGTTTTGATCTGATGATGACTGCCATTTGTAACTCTTCGTGTTTAATTCCACAGTTGCTGATTGAATGGGGTTGTGATGTCCATTGTAAGAATGTGAAAAACCTGACTCCATTTGAGATGATAAAAAATGACGACTTCAAACACTTCCTAATAGGTACATCATTATTGTCTATTGACATATATTATTGTTTATTGACATATATTATTGTTTATTGACATATATTATTGTCTATTGACATATATTATTGTCTATTGACATATATTATTGTTTGCTAAAAAAAAAGGTAGCTGTTATGTGTTTCAATCAGTCTACATTCTAAATATAGGGAACAAAAGATTTTAAAAGGTTTTATTTGGGAGATAATTTCATCGTTCTCTGTATGAATTTAAATGCTGACAATTTATTGGTAACCCATTCACCCCTATACAACTTTAGTAAACTCTACCATGCATTGATCTGGATGATTCCATTATGGTCCACAGTGTTAAAAAGGGTTAATCAACTGTAAAATTAAAAAGTATTCCAATCATGCAATGTACTAAGACTTTCTATTCACTCATCATATACTTAGATTGTGGGCTAATTCATAACCTTAAATAGTTGTAGAGAGTGTTACGTCAGTCACAATAAAACACTAGTATTTTTATATATGTTGTATATGATACATATTTGCATGTTCATATATGGTTGACAAAAATTTAATCTTTCAATTGTTATATTACTTTTCATTAGTACAGAGTGATGTCTTTTTCATTGTTACAGAGTTGTATGGACACTATTCTGAAATTGTGCCCAAGATCATGGAAGGTGACATGGCGCTCTTAGATGAAGTCATACATAAACACTCCACCCATCAGAAGCAGTTCTGTAGCCTCCGGAGCAGGTGGGTGGTTAACTCCTCAACAGTCAAACGATTCATAGCAGAGAAACTCAGGTGCTGCTAATCTGTACAGCTGTAAAAGAAGGATCAGACATTCATACACTTATAAAATCTTATAGATATAAAAAGGGTTTCTGTTAACTCCCATAGGGTTGTATACGTATAGGACTTCCTTAAATGGATTATGACTCTCCAAATGATGGAGGCTTGCCAATAAAGTGGTCAGAATGCAAGATTTATGCTTGATTTTACCCTCAACTTTTATGTCTGGCAAAAACACGGATAAATTTGCATTACTCCAGGAGTTTTATTCATTCTTAGCCAAGAGTCTTAATATATGTATGTATGTATGTCTGCTGTAATATTGCACTTCACATAGGCCATAATCAACAAATGATAATGCTTAGATCTCATCATTCAAAAATCATTTTTTTGTATCTCATTTCTTAAGGTTTCTTATGATGCAAATATCTACCTATTATCAGTAAGAAATAGAGATTATATAAACCTGTAAATACCTTAACATGATCTCTTGGAGAAAGTTTAGTAGATTTCCTTCAGTGTTACTAAGACTAGATCTATTGGATCACCAGGTGTATCAATGGGAGTACCCTGCTACACACGGCAGCCTACTACGGCAACGTGGCAGCCATCAGAGAGCTTATGCAGCTGCGAGTAGATGTAAATATCCGTGACTACAAGGGTGCCACTGCCCTCCACCGCGCCCGCAACAAAGAGGTGTTGGAGGTAGGTGACAGGTTTTGAGAGGTCATCAACTGGGACAGAATGTAATGTAATCAGTATTGTGTTATTTAGATTTCAATCTTAATATCAAAGGTATTGAGAAATAAATAATTCATTAAGAGAATTGATTTTTTATGTTTGTCATTTTACAATCCCCAGTAGAACCAATATTGAACAAATGTTAAAACAATGTCTCGACAAACTGTAAATCACCGATGGTTTTCAGCAACCTTGGTGCCTTTTTCAGGCCATAGTGAGATCGCTAAGGGACTTAAAACTTATCTGGACATTCAGTCATGTGACCTAGGGATTATCTCCCTGTAGAAGTATCACAGTAGAACAAATATTCCATTATCTCTCAGTAAAATGTCAGAATCAACCAAGCAAGCGACATTGCATCTAATGACATCAATATGCATTAGAAGTGAATGTTGAGAGATGTATGACTTCACAAAGTCATTAAATGTTTATTGATAAAAAAAAGTACAAGATAAAATTAAATGGAAATCAATGACTTGTGGTCTGCCAGGTGTTGCTGGAGTCTGGAGCCAGTGTAGACGCTGAGGATGGAGAGGCTAACACTCCACTCCATGTCAAGTGTTACGGAGAGACAAATGCCCCATCAGAAATACCATCCATAGAAGTGCTACTTGCCAGGAATGCCAACCTTGCCAGAAGGAATATGCGGGTAAAACAAAAATACTGCTGTTGGTTCTCACATTAGGGAAATTCTAACTAAATAAGTATCATTCTATCTATTGTAAATAACATAGGAAATATACTGCAGTGGTCAATTACAATATAAAAGTACAAAATTTACTTCCTAATATACTTCAGGTAGTTAATATTTCAAAAGGTCTAAGAAAATTCTATCAAAGCATTCTCTTAATTTACTGTCATATACTTGAACAACTGATGTAAAGTTTTGTAGATAATTACCATTCTGTGGTATAGAGACCTGGATATGTGTATTTCAGGGTCTTCTCCCCATACACTGCTGTGCCATGCAGGGCCGTGTGGACGTGATTCGTCTGATGGTACGGGCAGACACAGAGAACAACATCTCGAAGGCTATCTCTGGAGAGGATGACAAGAAGCCCCCTAGTCTATTACATTTGGCCATCGCTAATGACTTCATAGAATGTGCCAAATGGTAGGTCTGTCTTGTGTAACAGTTTTTAGACCACCCATTCAAAGAATGTAGTCACTACAGAGGAAGGCAGCAGTGTTGGTGTTTGGACGTTAATGTTTTGGTGTTGAAACTCATTAATACACCTTTACTAAGTAACCTTGAGTATTTATACGAAGATACTGATACTCGGTATGGAGGTCCCCAAAGGGTTCAGTATTGATGCAGTGTTGTACTGACATTACATAAATCGAAAACGCTTATAAGTGACGTCAGAGTGTTCTATAAATATCTCACGTGAGCCCTTGGTGTTTATTTGGTTGGTAAGAACACCCACCAATATTCTTCTTTTGATACAACCATAAACTAATGGTTTGGTGATCCATTTTGGGTACTACAAATGTATCACCTTGCATAAAATTAACAAAATTGGTCAAATTAAAACTAGAATATAATAGCAATAAATCACTCATAGCATCATACAGTAATCTGCCAGAATATTACGTACCAATCTAATGCCTGTATAAAGTTGTTGTTGTCATTGTTTACTTGTCCTCAGGTTGTCTACCAACGGCTTCTACTTCAAGAAACGGGAACAGGACGTCCTCCTCCGACGGATAATGACGGAACAAGTCACCCTGTAAGTGGGTCTCAAAAACTGAATTCATAGAGTGAATCTTGTTTCTCTCCATTATTCCGAAAAAATTTGTACCACAGAAGTCGCTTTAAAAAGAGATTATTTAGATTGAACTAACATATAATATATTTATAAATATCCTTAGACATACACTTAAAAGAGTTTAATGCAAATTAATGTAATCTACTGCCATATATAATTATAACAAATAGGAATAGCCACATATTATTATTTTATCACTATTTAGATTAAATCACTTTGAAGGAATACTGGTGTTTTTTGTTCCATTACTTGTCATTCGTTTAGAAAGCTATTTTTCGACGGGGACGTATTATGTTATCACGTGAGCGGGCGGGCGGGCGG